ATATGGGCCGAATACAGCGTCGTCTTTGTCGTGTTCAATTTTGGGTCAGGCCCAATGACAACCGCAGAAGCTGCATTTTACGCCCCAGGCAGCTGGGTAACTGGCCCATTACCAAAGTGGCTTCTCTACCAAGCAATGCCCTCCTTTCACCCGGCCAACAGTGCGACTGCCTACACCCTGGTCGAGCGAGTCTCCGTCCTGAGAAATGTAGGTCGACGGAAAACCCCCATTACTGCTGCGCATGCTGCTGCGCCAGTTGACGTCTTTGCTCCAAGATCTGCAAGCGCAGGCCTTCTGCAGCCAATTCCGTGTCGAGGATGGCACCAACACCACGCTTCCATGTCTCCTCCAGCCCCACAATCTCTCCCTTGTTGGCTTCCTGGGCGAGCTTTCTCTCCTTGTTCACTGTCTCGGCGGCCTCCTTCATCTCAGCCAATTCCTTCTCAAGCCCCCGTAGGATGTCTTCCAGCTGCGAATTGCCAATCAGCCACGCGTTCTTTCCATTCTCTTCTAGCAGTGCCAGATTCTCGTGCCGCATTGATAAATGGGAGCTAGCCGTGTAAGCCTTTTGCAGTGTCCGTTGCCATTCCTCGAGGTCGGGGGTTCCGTCAGCGGCTTTAGCAGGAGCCTCAGGCGCTTCATAGCGGGAGAGATCGATTCCGCCGGTCAAGGGCAATCCAGCAGCCTTGCGGTCCACCTCCTGCTGGATGAGAGGAGAAAACCGCGACTCAGGAAAAGCAGGAATGGACGGGTGGATAGTGGTTTTGGCATCCAGCGAAAGTTCCGCGGCAATTAGCTTCTCTGCAGCTGCTCGTGCCTGGGTGGAAGGGGTCGGTTCGATGTCTAATGACGGTCCACGCGTTAGAAGGGAACTCATAGCAGAGGTAAGGCAACTTACAAGGAAGTGAGTCGTGGGATTCGTTAATGAGAGGCATGTTGACTTGAGCCTGCGTATTAGACCTAGATAACGAGGAGCTAGAAGAGGCAGGGGTCAATGCGAAGTGATATCTTGTATAAGATCGAACCGTGCCAGCAGCAGCAGCTCGTCATGAGCGTCTCAGCTTTTGCGCCGAGCACAGGAGGGCGGTGAGTATCACTGGATGACTCAGCATTTTCTGCCGGAGCTGATCCGGGGTGTTTTAAGCTAAACCGTTTCAGGCAACCCAAGTATAGATGAATCTCGTCCAGCTGCGACACGGACGTCTCCTTTCCTCCTTCGTTCTCCACATGATCATCACTTTCCCGGATCTTTAGGCAAGGCGGACCTCTTCTCCACTTCTCTGGAGGCTTAGCCTAGGCTTCTCTATCAGACGAGGTTCATGCGATCTACAGGGTCCCTTGTGACAGGGCAGGGCTGGTCCCTGACTGGCCAGTTCCCCGCCTATGACCTTGACAGAGTTGCAATGATAATGACTCAACCAGCCAACCGCATGTCATCCATCTTCAGAGCCGAATCTAAACTTATATTCTTGCAGTTAGTCGACGCGGGGCTGGATAGAACATTCCTGATCAAGCTTAGCCACGGATGACGACGGGAACGGACCAGACCCTTTCTCCTACATTCCAATAGCCTTTTCACCAATCGCGCCTCTTCCGCATCCTCCCCGCAAGGTTGCAGAGACCCTGCAGTGTCATCCCCGGAGCCGTCGTTGCAAATTAGCCGGGCATGCCTTGTGATAGCTCCTGCCTCGGTCGGTCCCTGCTTGCAATAAGAAGTGCGCATCCCCGTGGACAGGCTGAAGGCTCTCTGGCACTGCAACGATCCTAGAGCTCACGCCTTATCTCGGTGGAATGGCGAACTTCAGGCTGGGTGTGGCTTTGGCCAGCAGCGTGGCAACGGCACTTGTGTTGCTGCAACTGTTCTCACTGTTTCAGCACCAGAGCCAGCCACTCATTGTCGGTACACAGTCTAAGTGGGCGCACAGAGCTGCTGCAACCGAGGTGAACAACGATGATATTTTCCTGCTAGGCGCAGGAAAGGCGGATATAACGGGGTAAACTACCTTTATCCTACCAGTGCTGCATGGATGCTGATACATTGTCTGCTAGGCCTGTTGTTGAGTTAGGGATGAATGGATATGCTAGCTTGGACCAGATTGGGACTGGTCTTCGGCAGAGAATCTACTCTCGGGCTTTCATTGTGGCCAATAATAACAACCCAGATGACACTTTCATCTACCTTATCCTGGATGCTCTGACCGGGGACACTGCCGTGCGCCATGGTGTACTTGATGGCCTTGCTAGCCTGGGCAGCGACTATGCTCGATACACCGAGCAGAACGTCGCACTTACTGGGACACACTCTCATTCAGGCCCCGGTGCCTGGATGAATTACCTTCTTCCTCAAATCCCCACCAAGGGTTTTGATAAACAGAGCTATCAAGCGATTGTTGACGGTGTCCTCCTTTCAATCAAGCGAGCCCACGAAGGTTTAGCACCCGGACGTCTCAGCTTTGGGTCCATAGACCTAGAAGACGCCAATACCAATAGAAGCCCCTACGCTTATGACGCCAATCCTGCAGAAGAGAAAGCTCGGTACTCGGCGAATGTGGACAAGACGCTGACTTTGTTGAGGTTTGATCGGGAATCCGACAACAAGACCACTGCCATACTGACCTTCTTTCCCGTACATGGTACATCTTTGTACAATAATAATACCCTGATCACCGGGGACAACAAGGGTGTGGCCGCCTGGCTTTTTGAGCGCAGTGTCAAAGGCGACCAAAAATTCTCCGATGACTTTGTCGCAGGCTTTTCTCAGTCAAATGTCGGCGATACCAGCCCGAATGTGTTAGGAGCTTGGTGTGAGGATGGCTCTGAACAACAATGCCGATATGAAGATAGCACATGCGGCGGGAAGACTGAGGATTGCCACGGCCGTGGACCTTACTTTCGTGAGAAGGATAACGGCGCAAAGAGCTGCTTCGAGATTGGACGGCGACAATACGCGGCTGCGAAAGAACTCTACGCCAATCTGGATTCCAATCCTGTTCGAATTCTTTCAGGCGCCGATGTCCGCTCGTTCCACACTTACCAAGACCTGTCCAACTACACTTTTACGTCGCCGTTTAATGGTAGTACTCTAAAGACGTGTCCTGCCGCATTGGGATTCTCGTTTGCAGCCGGCACGACGGACGGGCCAGGATTTTTCGACTTTACCCAGAATGGCACGGGACCAGCCGATTCCAACCCTCTATGGTATGTTGCTCGTGCTTTCTTGCACCAGCCGTCAAAAGAGCAGCAGGCGTGTCAAGCGCCGAAGCAGGTTCTTCTCGATGTGGGACCAATCACACAGCCGTACGCCTGGACACCTAATATTGTGGACATTCAGGTCCTGAGAGTGGGTCAACTATTCATTGTCATCTCGACAAGCGAAGCCACCACCATGTCTGGGAGACGCTGGAAAGAAGCGATTGGCAGCTCTGCAAAAGAGGTTCTTGGAGTGGCAGACCCTCTGGTAGTCCTAGGTGCGCCGTCCAATAGCTATGCTCATTACGTCGCCACGGAGGAGGAATACGGAGTGCAGCGCTATGAAGGGGCCTCGACTCTGTACGGCCCCAATACACTTGCGGCATACATCAACCTAACCCTTACGTATCTGCCGTACTTGGGCAAGTCAGCGCAGACGGGCAGTCTACCGTCGCTATCCTCCGGGAAGATACCTCCCGTCAATACCAACAACTCACTAAGCTTTATTCCCTCAGTTATATATGACGGATCGCCAATCAGCAAAGCATTCGGTGATGTTGTATCCTCTTCGGCAAATGTCACTTACGGGCCTGGAGACATGGTAAATGTCACATTCGTGGGGGCAAACCCTCGCAATAACCTACGACAAGAGTCGACCTTTGCGGCTGTGGAGAGGTACAACTCAGCTACCGGGTTATGGGATGTTGTGCATACTGACAGCGACTGGAACCTTCTGTATAACTGGGAAAGGACGAGTACGATTTTGGGGTATAGCGAGGTCACTCTCCAATGGCAGATTGAGGACGAGTATTACGACACGGGGAATCCTAATCCCCTTCAGAGTGGAACATATCGTCTCCACTATTACGGCGACTCAAGAAGTGTGCAAGGTAAAATATCCTCCTTTGAGGGGATTAGCGAAGGGTTTACGGTTGCAGTCAGCTGAGAGCTGGCCTCTACTATGTTGAAGGAGGCTGGTACAAGCGGCAAGAGTGAGGCTTATGAGACAGGATCAGGACGTATATGAAAGTAGGAATGATCTAACAGTAGCATTGGATTATAGCCAAGTCAATATTATTGATTTTCTCGCAATTGGATATTTCATTCTCTGTCTGCTTGGTGGTTGGCTGCATCTCAGCCAATCTAGCCGTGCCCTGGCTGGCACAAGACGGTGGCTTAGCTTGTGAGGCGTATGCTCGGACATGGGGAGATCCATTCATAAGAGCTTAGTAGAAAGATTGCTATGATCCACTGTTCTGCAAGACTTGACACGGTTGCCAATGAATGGGAAATGTTGGCCAACCGGGGCGGGTGCTGCAACATCCCAGCCGGCACTTCTTTGTCGCGCGCCAACTCGACTCTCGCCAGCCAACCGATCCCAGCTTCGAGTCCCACAACAGCAAGTTGGACCGTCGGAATGTTTCATGTCAAGCTGCACTTGATGACGGCCCAGGCCGTGGCATCAGCTAAATAAAGAGATGACGGGTGGGCGCTTTCATCGCTTGGCTTTCTTAAACACGGTCTTTCTCTTGTCTAACCCTCATTCGCTCTGCATCATCCATATTCCTGATTGTCCTTCTTTACTTTCCCTCACTTCAACACTCTTTCGTTGTTTCTAGATACTAATTCGAGTCAAAGATGAATCTCTGTCGCTTCTGAACTTGCCAATCAGTGTTAGTGCAGCGTGGTTAGCTATTTATCTTTGCATCCTCTCTTTGACTGCTCGTTTATGGTCCTCTTTACATCTCCTTGACATACATACATAATATTGGTACTATTTCGACTGCACAATTCCACCAGCAGACGAGATAATGTCGCTCATACCAGTTATCCTCGTGACTTTCTTCCTCGTCTTTTGCTGCGCGGCTGGTCCGATTGCTCCTTTTGCCTCCAAGAGAGACCTGGAGTCGCTCTCTCCATCTCCTTCGCTCACTACACCTTATGTGTATGTTGCCAGTACTTCGGTCGATGACGATGACGACGATGAGATCAACGCTTTGACTGTAGTCCCGGTCACACCCTCCAGTCTGCCTCAGACTGCATCCAGCTCTAGCACCACCTCTGAGCCGGTGCCATCCAGCTCAGCTGCGTTCGTTCAGGTATCTCCGACTACTTCTACTCATGTCGACTCAACTACCTCTCTGTTCGAGTCTTCCTCTGCAGCCACGCACTCGTTATCTACAAGTGTCTCATCAGACAGCACCGTGTTGCTGACTTCAACGACTACAACTACAACCACAACCACAATGATACCTTCATCTTCAGCACCCTACTCGCCTCCCTCGAGTGCAGTTCCAAGCTCTCCTGCGACAAGTTCTTCCTCGCACATCGTGCATACCACAACACCATCTAGCACGCTTTCTGAGAGCTCCCATGTTGTAACACCCTCAATTATCATGCCAGGAGGTCCAATGGAAGCCTCGTCGTCTCACGCACCTATGCCAACAACCTCTTCTCACATCACGCACGAGACGTCATCTTCTGCTGCCAGAGTATCACACTTATCCGGCGCAGCAGCAGAGACGTCAAAAGCATCTCCATCACCCCAGGGGACAATCACATCATCTAGTAAACTACTACATTCCTCAACTATTGCACCCGTATCATCAAGCGCTGCTCCAGAGAGCACTACATCATCCCACACCTCCGAGACATCAACGTCCACCAGCTTCACGATTGGGGTCATCACGCCTCTCCCAGAAGCCAGTACCAGCTCTTCCTCAATGCCCGAGATGTCATCCTCCACCACACACTCCAGCGAGAGCAAAACAACCACAGCTGAGGACACCTCATCAACACCCACTGAAAGCCAGACAACGACGCCAACCCCCCACACAGCCATACCCTTCATCGGGGTGACCATACCCACGACAAGCACAACAAAGACCACCCAGCCAGCAGACCCAGTGGACACAACGACCACAACCACCCCTACACCAGAAACAGAAGACACCACCACAACCACATCCTCAGCCCCAACCCCAGTCGTCGTACTAGTCACACCCGAAGGATCAACAACTGTCATCGGAACCTCCTCCTTCATACCCTCCAACCCAGATACCACATCCACATCAACAACCATGCAAACCATCTACGTAGTAATCACAGATACACCCGCCCCCGAACAAACCTATGATTCAACCACCATTGCGACTGCCATCGTCACTGTCGTTGATAAACCAACCCCAACATCGGAAACTGTCCCTACTACCACCACATCAACAACATCTGAGGAAGGGAAAGTGTCGTCGACGACTCCGACTCCGACTCCGACTCCGACTCCGTTAGATGCAGAGCAAACATCAACGAAATCTAGCGGAGAGGATGTGTCCACGTCCACGGCTATACCTACGATAACAACATCATCTTCTCTGTCTAGTGAAACAGATGATGTTCTTATGATTGTGCCTGTGACGCTTACGGGTCCTGTTACTGTGACTGTTACGGTGACGGAGAAGGAGAAAGAGACGGTGACAAAGACGGAGACTGTTACGGAGAGGGTTACGGAGACGGAGAGTGTGACTACTTGATTTGGTTGTTATGTTATGTTATATGATATGTATTAGTTAGGAGGGATGGTGGATATAAGTGGTAATAAGACATACATAATTCAATTATTCTGAGTTGATTGGTCCATGGCTTGTGTTATTGGATGTGCTACCTCTCCATGTTGATTTTGTAGTAGTATTTTATCAGTTATTTCGACACACATTGGGATTTGTCATCCATTTCATTTGAGATACTTCCAGCATATCAAATCATATCATCCATCCACCCATGAAATGACCTAGATATAGGTATCATCACAAAAGATCACACGGTCAAACAGTCAATGAAACACTCTATAATAATATACACAAATATATAGACACCATGGCCGTTCAATCATACTCCCGACCCGAATAGTACACACACTGAACTCCGTCGCCACCCCAGCTTTGCTAACAATCAGTATCCCGCCTCCCAAACGAATAAAGCAATCGATATCCCATTCCAGAAACTCCAGCTATAAATGATGCGAAAATAAGTCAGCTTCAAGAATGCCTTCGTGTCCATTACAGTTCGGATAACATGCCCCCTGCTTCGGCAAACTTGGCCTGGTATTCTTTCAGACTGGCCCATTGGCGCAGCTCTTCTTCGTCGCGGTTGTGATCGCTCAAATAGCTGATGGATTGTCGGTGTACCTCGGGACTGGAACCGCTTTTGCCCTGGCTAGACCCGGATTTGAACCCCTCTAGGCGTACAAGAGTATCAATGAATGCGCGAAGGTAAGCTTCGGCTTCTGCGGATGTTAAAGGTTGGGGACCAGAAGTGGAGGGCGTGATCATGCTATGATGCGGGAAATTGAGTAATGTGGAGGCGATTTGGCGGATTTTAGCGGTCTATGAAGGGGTCAGTTCTCCCGGTTCAAGTTGAAGGAAACACAGGGTGCATACGAAACTGCCGCCGTTGGGTTCCATACTACTCTCGTTGACCGATTGCAACAAGATGAATAGATCCCGGATCACCACCCGACGCTCTTCTGCCATCATCCTCCCAATATAATCTGATTGGGCTTCCGCATCGTATGTGTCTAGACTTTGCGGCGGCTCACCTTCAACCTTAATCGTAGTTCTGGGGCTGACGGGAATTTGCTGGTCGGACTGTTTTCGCTGCATTTTCCACGCTCCGTACAAGGTCCAATATTTCTCTACCAAGTATGATCGGGTGCCCAACTGGCTCGCGTAGATGTTCGCCTTTTGGATCTGAAGTTGCATATGGCGCTTACGAGCCCGCGGATCCTCCACAGGAGGTGTAGTCTCGTATTGGCCATGCCCGTTGCCTATTTCGGGATCTTGAGATAGCTGGATAGCCAATTCCCTTGGAACATTAGATAAGCCAGATTTAGCCTTTTGCAGACATTCCCACATAAGAGAGCGCTGCCGTTCCCAATCAAAGACCTGGCCGCTCCCAAACGCAGTCTCCCAGGCGGAGAGAGTATTATACGAACTGAACACCCGGACGTTGGCGTTGAAGCCCACCAGAAGAGAAATCCGATCAGACGGTTGTGGTTCAACATGTGTGGAGAAGATATACTCATCATCCACTTCGAGGGGCAAGGGAGGATAGCGCGAAGTCGGAGTTTCAGGAGGCACATGGATAGTCACGTCACCGGAGCCAAGCTGCTGCAGCGTCCGGTAGCCGGCGATGGTGGTGTAAAATAAGCGTCGTCCGAGCTCCTGCTCGATGATGTCGACGTGAAGATCGGCGGTCGCGCCGCCAAAAGGATCTTGCGAATAACGCGACGAGGAAGAGGGGCTTGGCGGAGTCATTGCCCGAAAGTGATTCGACTGCCGAGAAAGGTCATACACATGAATCATAGTAAGGCATTCCGCGAAATATGCGCGACATCGGCGCATGTGCCAGACATATCCTGCGCAAAGCCCAAGGAAATAGCTAGTTGCGGCATCATACACTGTCGCGCTTCGATCCAGATAGCCGTAGCCTCTAGCTTGAACTGCAACATCATGGCATCGCCTGACCAATGCCATCGAGTGTGGAAATGCTGCCTTCTCCGCCTCCGTCTTCAGATGCCGCTTGGGCCTTCGCGGAAAGGACGCCACCAGTGTCCCGACCATGGCGGCCGTGAGGGCCAAAAAGGTAGGGTTAGTAAGGTCATCTCGCCGCTCCAATGCGGCGCGGAACGTGGGCTCATGGGGGACAGGGACTAAGGGATGGATGTAGGTGAAAAAATCGTCAATTAGTAGCCACAGGGTCGGCATAGAACAAATGGACTCCGCCGATAAAGGTGCTGGGGTGGACGAGGGGATGGTGGTGCTCCCCACTGACCCGGGAGGACCCGGGGTGGCATGGTCTGATGGACTTGGGGAGCCTGCAGGGGACTCTGCTAGTTTTTGCTTTTTGAATGCTTCTGCATGGCGGTTAGGGGGACCGCGACGTCGACTCGGTCGTTCATAAGTGCAAGGGATATCCAAGCTTGCGCATGACCGACAGGGTGGTCCGCTGGTGTCGCACTGAGCAGAGTTAGCCAACACTGCACTTTCTTCATGAACAGTGACAGCTGCATGTAGTATACCTTCACTTTTCGAATACTACAGGCGTCACAAGCCTTACGCAGTCTGGTTCGTTGGTCCATGAGCATGTAGAGGACACAGCGGATAGTCCCATGCTCTTGTAAATCGCATTCAAAAGTCTAGAACATAGGGTTGTTGTTGCGGACCAGGACCAGGACGTCCGCGCATACTACACCACAAGATGTTGGACAGAGCAGCACTGTCGCGTGCGGGTCGGAGACGGATAGCGGGATGATAACGAGTAAAACCTGGAGAAGATGCAGCAGGAATGACTAGTAGTAGTTAAGGTATGCCGATAGTCCCGGGTACTAGCGAACAACAGCACCTCGGAGAGGAGGGGGGGCACCAGGGGGGGTGAAGTAGAGTAGAGAGTGCTAGTCCAGTGCACGAAGACCGTACAATCGGACGAACGGTCCAGTTGTTGTGGGGGAAATTGGAAGGATGATCGCCCGAACGAGGCTCGAAGATTATTAAGGGACGGCGGGTTAGTCTAGAAGGGTTAGATTGGAAGATGAAAAAGACTAGATTTCGCAGGTTTTCGCAGAACCGTTCAACATTTGAGTTTTAAGATTATGAGCAGTGAGCCCAAAGAAGCGACCCCAGAGTGACCTAATGCAATATCGACCACCGGTCAGGTCAGGATATCCCCGCCCGGTGGAGGTCTGGACGCCGGGCTTAGGTTGGCTGGGACAAAAGTAGTGGACGAAGTAGTCTGGTACCTTAAGTTTGGCCAAACTCCGCCGTCGATGGAGAAGAGGGGCTCCAATGACGGGTGGAATCGGAGCCCTGTACTTCACCGGTGATGAGCGTTTATGGAGCCTCGGGATTGTGTTTGCTTGGTTGTTTTGTTTTGTAGTTTTCTTCTTCTTAGACTACCAATTGTCTTCTGTCGACTCTTTTTTCTTTCATCATTTCCTTCTTGTTTTGTGCCATGTCTAATGGGGTGGTTTGAGAAGCAGTGTCGATCACAGAGAGAGAGAGAGAGAGAGAGAGAGAGACAAAGAGAGAGAGGGAGGAGAAGGAGGAACCGAGACTCCGAATCAGGCGGGGAGGAGATCACGTGGCTGCGCGTCACGCCGCCTACAAATGAGACTGTGTGTGATGCTGGAACTTGAGGCTCAAGGGCAGCCCGAGGCAACGAAACTAGAAAATGGAATGGGTCGCATTGAAGGAGGCTGAGTTAGTTAGTAGTAAAAGGAATAATAAGCAACAATTATGCCGGGCGCCAACGATGACGATGGAGGGAACCGACTGAGACTCCCATCGTCGCAAGTGCCGTCAGGGACTCGGTGCCTGATTTGCTCACAAATTGGGAGTAGAAGCGGGTAACAAATCCGGAACCCTTAACTCTGTGGTAAGAAGACTTAGTATAGTCTAGTCTCCGTACTCAGTGACTACTTACTACGTATAGGATCGGAGCACTGTCGGGCGCCGGCAAGGTTTGCTAAGTTGCTAAGGGTGCTGCTAAGTCTCGCCCCGTCAGGGGTTACTTCCCAATCGGTCCGTCTCCGCCGCACATTAATCTTAACTTCCCCCCCCCGATACTAATTACATTTAGTTATCCTCGACCAGCGAAAGGCTCCCTCCCTGTCTACCAAAGTACCTTAGAAAAAGCCCGCAGGTGGAGTCGGCAGTCTTTTTGCGTCCTGTCGCAGGGACCAACCATGGCAATAATGGAACGATCGAACTACTACTACCGACCCTCTCTCATGATTTATGACACTAAGAAGTGTTCGGTTAAACCCGGTCATCGGTGTGGCCACATTAAAATCAGTATTCTGTACGTTAATATCCCAACAGTTGTCAAGGTAAATCAGAACATTTCTTGAAACAACAAGGGCAATGTAGAAGAGTAGACAACGGGTGACGCTAAAAGAAGCGGGAATAAAGGCTAAACAAGCATCAAGAAAAGAAAAGAAAAAAAAAAAAATAAAAATAAAAAGACAAACTAAATCATAGCATCATCATCGTTGTAATCGTCGCGGTAGAGACCTTCGGGATCTCGCCCGGGCCTCCTGCCCAAAAGATCGCGCTTGTTCTCAAGATCCACCGTCCACAGAGCAGATCCAACCGCGGTTGACATCAGGAAGAACATGGACAAAATGGGGATCAACTGAAGTATCAGGGCCACCGTCCCAAATCTGGGTTCCCTCGTGCGTTGAGCGTCAGTATGAACCTCGGTTGATCTTCAAGGGGGGTTTGTGTCAGGGGAAAGAAGGTTGAAACCCACGTGGTGTATTGCAATTGTCTGCGGCGAATCCTTTCTTTGCGCTGCTGTTTCGAAAGATCCAACAGCTGAAAGTATCGCCAATGGTGGAAGGGGCCCGCCCGGTAGCCGGTCAGCACGAGGAACATGGGTGTTCCAGCCACCGGAATAAAGTTCAGCGGTAGAAGCACAATAAATTCCACGATTTGCCGTAGAGAAAACGGTGCATAAACGGCGCTCTTGGTGGGCTTGCCGAGCCGTTTGACGACATCATCGCCCTGGGGGTACAAAACCCTCGACATGGTGACGAGTTCGCCATGGCCCTCACTCACGAGCACCGAATCGAAGATGTCCACGAGGGTCTCATCGACGAAGAAGGCTTCAAAGAGAGCAGCAACAATGGCCGCCCCCTCTCCTAGAACCAGGAAGGCGCCATTGATCCAGGCCCCGACACCCTGGAAGATGGACAGGAAGGCCACCTGAGGCAAATATGCAAATAGGAAGAGCAGGACGTAGATGAAAGCGGACAGGAGAACGATCGGGATCAGACGAGTCTTGAAAAGAGGCCAAAGGTAGCGATGCGATGCAAAATAATAAATGCCCTGTAGAAAGACCAAACCATCAGTTTCACCGTCACAAAAGGGAACAGGCAGCAACGTGGGCAAACATACCCGCAGGGGATATAACCACGCTGCTTTAGTAGTATCGATATGTCTGTGTGGCATGATCAAATAGACAAAAGAAGATCCCAACGCCAAAAGATAACAGGTAGACAAGTGGTCTGTATCGAAGAAGAGAAAGAGCGCAAGTGTGAGATGGAGAACGATGCGGACAAGGCACAAACACACCCGAGCACGGCCTCAACATCGTCATGCCCGCCAAGACCTTATCGATAAGCGGGCGGTGAAACACAAGCTATAAAGCTGAAATTTTCACCCGCTTCAACCTTCTCTTTTCTTTTCTTCCATACATAAACTGAACACCTTCTTATTCACTCTGAGCTCCTTGACCGTGGAACCTTGGAGGGGAAATAGAAGGTCAGAGCAACTCGCTGACTTACCCCGAATTCTCCTCCTCAAGCGTGGAGCGTTTGGAAATATTTACAGTGGTACATCGCTTTTGAAAAACTCGGCATGTTGCCTATTTCTCAACCCATGTAAAAGACCTATAAATTTGCTAGCAGTAGGGATGCTATAGTGACAATTGTTGCTTGATCACATCTACAATCCCTCCCAGATGTTGAACGATCGCTGTCGGCTTGACATCAGGCAACGCCTTGTCGACCCAGCCTGCCTCAGCCCGGTCTACCCAAATGGCATTCATACCCACATTGCGGGCGCCTGCAATGTCAAATGGATTGCCACTGACTAGCCAGATATCCTTCATTTCCGACTGGTTGCGGCCGACGCACTTTGCCAGATAATTGTAGACTGCTGGAGCGGGCTTGTACTGCTTCACTTCGTCGACGCTGACAACATCTCTAAAGAATGTTTTGTGCTGCGATAGAACCGTCGAGCTCTCCACACAATTGGCTATCATGCCCCGGGTGCCATTTGAAAAGATGACTGAGGTGACTTGTGAAAAGGCTGAAAGCTGATTCAAAGCGTCCTCGACATCGGGGAAGGGGGTTAGCCTATTGTAGGTCGCCATAAGATGCTCAATCTCCTTGTCTCCCAACGAGGTACCCGTATCATCCAAGGCATGCAGAAGGGAATTCCTAGTGACTTCCAGGAAAGTAAGATAGCGCCCTGAAGCATGAGACGACATTAGCCAATGTAGAAGCAATTCTTCCGAGACAGCAACATACCCATACTGTTCAGCCTGAAGGTGTATTCAAGCTGGTAGCGTCTCCATGTCTGTGCAATAGTGCGGGCCCGGGCATCATCATTCACGAAGCGCTCCAGTTCACGAGTGACAGCCTCAAAGGAGAGCAGTGTGCCATAAATGTCGAACGCAAGAACAATGTCCCCCATCATGTAATGAAGTGCTCCAGCGCAATCGATTCTCGAATAGATGTGGTCGTAGAAGACAAGAAAGAAACACGGCTCCCGTAAACTCAACTACTAATGTAAAAGCGGCCGATTGACGATGATGTCAAGGCCTCATCAACCCAACCGCCTCACCACCACAAACAACAAAAACCCAACAACCTTCCCACTGAACCCACAATGACAGCGCCAGACAGCGAAAACTACCAAATCTTCCGCGACTGCGTATCGAGCGCGATCGTCGCGAAATTCTCTCCGACACCTCGAACCAAGAAAGCGCGACGTCCGCGCACAACCCCGCGCCAGAAGTCCAGCAGTCGAGCAGACCCAAAACCAGAGGCAGAACAAGTCCAACAAAATGAATTCACTAGAACAGATCCAGAAGACCTGGCCGACTTTATCGACGTGCGTAGTAGCCTACACCTAAGCCCAAATCCAACTATCACAACAACAAAACCCAACTAACAACACCGAGAGAGGACGAGAGAGAGAGAGAGAGCGCGCGAGAGAGCGGGGTACTCAACCCCCTCCCCTCCCTCTCTCCCCCTCTCCTCACCACCAAAAAAACAGTTCATAGCCACAGAAACCTTCCCATCACTTCAACCACCAACACTCCAAACCCTCACCTACGACCCCAACACCGACTTCACAAGCGACAAAGAATACAGTCCACAACACCTCGCCGAAAGGACCTCGCACACCCTACCCGCCTCTATCACAGATACGCTGACAGCGTACGCGGTCATCGAATCCGCGACCGACATTCCCTATTTCCTCGCGCCGATACTAGGCGAGTACGTAGCGTCGGTGACGAAGCCGCCGCCGGTGTGGGCGACTACGCGCACGGATGCGTGCGAGATCTGTGAGCGGGATTGGATTCCGCTGTCGTATCATCATTTGATTCCGAGGAGTGTGCATGCCAAGGTGGTTAAGAAGGGGTGGCATGAGGAGTGGAGGTTGAATAGTGTGGCGTGGTTGTGTCGTGCGTGTCATAGTTTTGTGCATCGCATGGCGAGTAATGAGGAGTTGGCGAGGGAGTGGTTTACTGTTGAGAGGATTTGTGAGAGGGAGGATGTGATGGATTGGGCGAGGTGGGTGGGGAGGGTGAGGTGGAAAGCTAGGTAGATGAATTCTGGGTTTATTCTACGTGTAGTTTTGGATTATGATACTATGAGATGGGTTGGGTAAATGTGGGGGGGATTATTGTAGATGGGTATAGAACTTTGATTTGTAGACTCCTTTCTATCCGGGTGGTGATGATGCGTAGTACTTTTGGTATAAGCTCATCATCCCCGGGATCATATTGTACAGAATGGGTTGTTGCTCAGCCACACGCTTTCGGGACATGCAGATGAGAAAACACGGGTAACAGCCAAGGGGTATGTATGTAGAGGTGGACGATGGGTGTCCGCTAAAAATACAGATGCCAGAAGTTGAGAGTGGAAAAGGGGGTGTGAATGTGAAGCCGAAATGTCGATCAGAGGTATCTCTTCTCGAAGACTTCCTCGTAGCATTGGATGTGGTCGCCAACGGCAAAGTCGGTCCAGCCATCGAAGCCGATACCGCATTCCGTATCTTTGCGCATCTCCGTTACGTCCTTCTTGACGTTCTTTAGAGACGTGATTGAGCCTGCGGCCAGTTAGTCAGTTGTCATGAGAGGTAACACGCCATAGAGGGATCCAACTCACCATCGTAGATTGTCTCATTACCTCTGATCACACGGACCTTCTTGGCCCGATTGATCATTCCATTGCGCACCTTGCATCCTGCGATGGCTGTCTTGTTACGTCCCTTGACCGTGATTTCGAAAATTTGTCCGATCTCTGCTTCTCCCGTCACACGCTGGGTGACGTTAGGTGCCAGATGCTCACTCAGGATGCTCTTGACATCATCAATGAGTTTGTAAATTACGTTGTGGTTCATAATGTTGACGCCGCGCTTCTCTGCCATCCGAGAAATCACAGGGTCGACAGGCATGTTGAACGTGATAATGTGACCATTGGCTGTGGCCGCATGCTCAATGTCGAACTCACTGATCGGGCCTACTTCGGAGCGAAGTACATTGGCGTACACTTCGTTGTTACCGACAGCAGTGACCGAGTTGAGAACGGCCTCTGCCGAGCCACCAACGTCGGCCTTGATGATGAATTGCACTGGCTTGGGGCCAGATTGTACAGTCTCCTCGGCCTGGTCCGCGCCAGCCACTTCTTGACGGCGTTTCTCAAGCTTTTCACGACGCGCTTCGTTGATAGCGGTCATGTCTTCGCTCAGTTTCTGTGTCTCAGCCCGTTCCAACCGGTAGTCCACGACGCTCTTAGCGTGCTGCTCGTCGTCAGCCTGCAGAAGCTCGGTGCCAGCCGCTGGCTGTTCTCGCCAGCCATCAACCTCCACTGGCATGCCAGGAGTGGCTTCGGGAATTGTCTGACCAGCTTCGTTCCGAAGTGTGCGCACGCGCGCCCAGGTGGTGCCAGCAACAATGATATCTCCCGTTCGAAGTGTTCCCCGCCGGACAAGTACAGTAGCTACACGGCCATAGCTCTTGGTAGTGCCCTCGATAACCCATCCTTCGACGTGACCCTGGGGGTCAGCCCGGTGGTCGAGCACCTCTGACAAGGTGATAATTGCTTCTTCAAGCTCCAACATTCCCTGGCCGGTCTTTCCACTCACGCCGATTGCTTGTACGTCACCACCAAAATCCTCGACGTGTACACCGTGCATCGAGAGGTCCTGTTTCACCCTGTCAGGATTGACGCCTTCCTTGTCCATCTTGCTCATGGCAACAATGATGGGGACATTGGCTGAAGTGGCATGCTTAATTGCCTCAATCGTTTGGGGCTTAACACTGTCATCACCCGCGACGACAAGGACCACAATGTCGGTCACGTCCGCACCACGACGGCGCATATCCAAGAAAGCAGCGTGGCCAGGAGTGTCCAAGAAGGTGATGGTCTTTCCGGAAGGCATAGCCACCGAGAATGCACCAATGTGCTGCGTGATACCCCCGTGCTCCGTTGCGACAATCGAGGACTTGCGAAGCCAGTCGAGGATGGTGGTTTTGCCGTGGTCAACATGCCCCATGATCGTCACGACCGGGGGTCTGACAGGTAGACTTGACTTGTCTTCTGGCTCTGGCGCTGCGGTCAAGTCACCCTCGCCATTGTCAAAAATGGGTTCATAGTTGTATTCAGAGGCGATCAGGCCGGCGGTTTCGGCATCAAGGACATGATCATACGTAACGTCGTCGAAACCCATATCCTCCATACGTTTAACAAACTGTGCAGGACGGACACCAATGACGTCTGCAAGACTGCTGACGCTGATGAACTCGGGGAGATATAGAGGGCTGACATTAGCTTGCATCTCCTTCTTGCGCGCTTTCTCCTTCTTCAAGCGCTTCTTCTCTTCGCGACGCTTCCGGCGCTGAGACTCCTCGTCCTCGTCAAATAGATCCTCCTCATCCCTACCAGACTCGCGTTGCTTGCGACTGGCCTTTCGTTTCGGCTTCATTTCCGAGACATCATCTTCACGTACTTTGATGTTCTTCAAAGAAGACGGATCCCAGGTCCAAGGGTCACTAGCTTTCTTTTCCTGCTTGTCTTCCTCTGCTTGCTGCTGCGCTTTCCTCTCTTCCTTCTTTGCCTCCCTCTCTTCTTTTCTTGCCTCTATCTCCTTCTTCCTTGCTTCCCTGGCTTCCTGGACGGATATTTCTTTATCGACATTGGAGTCGAACACAGGTCGTGGACCGGCAAATTGCCCTTGGCTCGCCATATAACCTCTGAACGCTGTTTCCCTTGAGCCGAGCCCTTCAGCATTCCCGCTATCCTTATCAGACAAAATAGACTGGCCCAATTTTCGAATCTTTGTAGCTTCCTCGTCTGCGTGGCGATGGCGGGGTGAGCCCCGGTGCCGTTGCGGCCCCTCGTGCAGGTTCGGCCTGGGTGCTTTGCAGTGCGGGCAGACGGTATGCTGCCCGTAACATCTCGTCTGACAATCTGGACATGTCCAACCTGTCGACCGCTTGTGCTTGGGCACTTTGTTGACGTTGACTTCGAGTGACCTGTCGGGCTGTAGAGACAGGCTTTCCTTGTCCTCACTGTTAAGACCCGAGCGGCGCCTGGGGAATGCATCGGATTGCCTAGGTTTGAAGCTGGAATCGCGCCATCTCGTGCTCGGCCATTGCTCTTCCGTGCGGCCCTGGGACCGCCCTTCCTTCCATCGTTGTTGCGATTGCTGTTGCCTCTCCTTACGCTGCCGTTCTTGCTCTTGTCTCTGTAATTGTTGTTGCTGTCGCTGTTCTTCTTGTTGCCTCTTTGCGACTAAAGAGTCTCGGATAGCTTGCTCCGCCGGACTCAGCCCAAGCGGTCTCTGCGCTTTGCTACCCCAACGATTACCGAACTTCGGGCCCGTAGACGCTGGACCCGAGCTTGTACCTGCAACTGGTTCACCGGGACTATTTGATGGCGGAGAATCGGATGAATCGAGACGAAGAGGAGAGATTCGAAAATGCCGTCGAGGCACCAAGCCTACTACGGGAGTGAAGGCAGCATTTCTGCGGGCGGTTGCGCACGACCATTCGACACCGTGACGACGGGATAGCTGGAAGAAAAGGGTGACTATTAGCTCAAAACCTGTAACATTATAAAATAGGTTTAACTCACTTCCAAAGCAGCCCGTCTGTGCATGATGTACTGTCGTTGCTCACAGCGAAACCCTCGGCGCCAAAACTGCGGAGAAGAACATCGGCGCCGTAAGTAATCAAAGTATCGCTGGTGTATCCGCCCGTACGCCGCCTGCTGACTCATCCCGCGGGTCCGCCAGTTTTCCGCCTCACGTGCGCTCGGCGCCATCGCCGAATCGGAGGCGAGCACTCTCGCGACATTCAATTGCGCTCTTCTTTCTCGTCTTTCTGATAAGCTCCGTCTCTTACTCCTTCTTCCTGTCTGTACAAAGACTCCTGGGCTTTCGGGATTAAGAGATCATCTGCGTCGTTCGGTGCGATCCCGTCCTTGGCTCTACGACTCGATCTCCTTTCAACTTTCAGTTTCCCGAACCTGTAATACTTCCCCGCAATGGAGTCCGAGGCATTCGAGGACATGCAGAAGGGGGGCGGAACCCTTCGCACTCTCAAGGATTTGGGTGCTGGTGCTGCTGGTGGAATTGCTCAGGTGCTTCTTGGTATGTCATAATCATCGCTTCACGTTCTTTGAACATATACATATTCCATCCCCGATGCAATTGCGCGCACATGTCCTCCGTATACGGAGTATCCCATCACGGTGAGAGATGTGCTGGCGCATTGCTTTACCATGCTCTATCAGAATTATCCCTCATCACTACCACAAATCTCTACTCAAAGCACATACTAACAATGCACAGGACAACCTTTTGGTGGGTAACCCTCTCTCTCCAACCCGAGAGTTCTCCTAACAATGACCAGACATTGTCAAGGTCCGCCTGCAAACCACCACCCAGTACTCCAGTGCTCTGGACTGCGCCACCAAGATCCTGAAGAACGAGGGCCCCTTCGCCTTTTACAAGGGTACCCTGACTCCGTTGATCGGAATCGGTGCCTGCGTAAGCAGTTCCCAATCATCAGTCCCTTCTCACTCATACTAACCGGGCCCCCAGGTCAGCGTTCAATTCGGTGCTTTCCACGAAGCCCGCAGACGTCTGGAGAAGCTCAACAAGAAGAAGTACGCGGACAGCACTCTCTCCTACACGCAGTACTACATGGCCGGTAGTTTTGCCGGTCTCACCAACTCCTTCCTGTCCGGCCCTATCGAGCACGTCCGTATCCGTCTGCAAACCCAGCCCCACGGAGCTGATCGTCTGTACAACGGCCCCATCGACTGCATCCGCAAGCTCTGCAACCAGGGCGGTGTTCTCAAGGGTCTCTTCCGCGGTCAGAACGTCACTTACCTCCGTGAAGCCCAGGCCTACGGAACCTGGTTCTTGGCTTTCGAGTACCTCATGAACCAGGATGCCAAGCGCAACAACGTCAAGCGTGAGGACATCTCCAGCTTGAAGGTCGCTACCTACGGTGGTTTGGCTGGCGAGGCCCTCTGGCTGTCCAGTTACCCCTTCGACGTCGTCAAGAGTAAGATGCAGTGCGATGGCTTCGGCGCCCAGCAGCAGTTCAAGAGCATGACCGACTGCTTTAAGAAGACTTATGCTGTTGAGGGTCTCGCTGGCTTCTGGAAGGGTATTGGTCCTACCTTGCTGAGGGCTATGCCTGTGTCGGCGGGTACTTTTGCTGTGTACGTTCACCCCTCACCCATTCTTACTCTCCTGCTGCTTTATGTCGAGTACTTACTAATTGCATTATGCATTACAGTGTCGAGCTCACCATGAGAGCCCTGGGCTAAGCTACTTGGCCCCATCGACTTAGCACAAGAAATGAAATGAAATAATACCCAAGTTTGGTGGTGGTTTAGGGTTTTGATATCCCCCGTTTCTAGTTTTCTTTCATTCATTCAACAGGCTCTGGAGGAAAAGTTCCGCTTAGACATCATCCTTTTTTTCAAAAACAATGTTAAACTCGCATGGTTATATAGAGTTACTCGTTTTTCCTTCTGGCAAAGCATTCAGGATTTCAACACTTGGCCAGCTCAATATGATATGATATGATGATTCTTACTAGTACCCACATACACACATACTCAATCAGTATGACCATCCAATCCCACAACTAACCACCCACAAGATAATTGAAATCAAACAGCCAACGAAAAATCCCCAAAGAAATCCTGCCACGCCGTAGGAAAATAAAACAAATCCAAGCCAGGAAAATCCCACTCTCGGACAAACTGCTCAGGTACAAAACTCTGCAGATCGGCCTGCGCATCAAATAACTCCCAAAATGGCGTCATCGCATTGGTGCCCGGTTGATTGGTATTCCCTCCCTCCCCTCCACTACTCATTTCTCCTGCCTCCTCAATCGAGGCACCATTAACCTCCCTTTCCTGCAACACACGACTATATTTCTCAATACTCAATCGCAATATCTGCATATAGATATTATTGTTATTCCCTATCCCTGTTGTTGTTGTTGTCGCCGTTGCTGCCGTTGGGGCCGATTCCCCGTTCGTCCTAGTTAGCTCATCAAGGAGTCTATTTCCATGATCTAGAAGTTCCTTGTGCTCTTCTTTTTGCTCGGGAACGAGGCGAGATAACTTCAGGAGTAAGAGGAAGCAGAAGGCGCACTTGGCCCAGACGAAATCCATGGCGTATTTCAGTTTGGCGAGGTAGAAGTCGGGTTCGAGGCTGATTAGGCGGAGGTGTTTTCGGGCGCTGGATTTGGCGGTTAGGAGGATGGTTTGTTCGATTGGGGACATTTCTCTACGCCGGCATATGGGTTAGTAGGTAGATATGGTTTGGGTCAGGGTTTTGGGAGGAAGGATAGTATGTACGCGACGTTCCCTACGCCCATGGAGCGGAGCGCTTTGCAGTGCAGGATTAACTCGGCCCAGCATTTTTGGACTCGTAGGGCGGCAAGGAGGAAGGGGCGTTCTTGGGTGGCGGATGGGGAGTTTTCTGGTTTTGTTAGTAGGGTTGAATATCGGTTTGGGCATGGTGCTACATGGCGGTGGTACCGATGATGCGTAGCCAATCGCTGGTTGAGATTAGTTGAAGATATATGTGATGAAGATACTTGTCTTGGATTTACTTACTCGAACCACAAATCGATATCTACCTTGGCTTCGTGTACAAACTCCGTGATATCTGATCTTTGTAGTGTTTCTTTAGCATCTAGAGTATCGTTTACTCGTGCTACCATCTTGTTATACAGCCTGTCAGAATCTTACATTGTAAGGCGCTTACCACGTATGATGTTCAACTATTCGAATTAGTTACTAGGCGGTCATAACTTCAAGACAGGCATACTCACCTCCACCTGGGAGAAAAGGCGTAAATCCAAGACGGTAGACGTATGATGGCGAAGCAGAATGCGACATCGATGAGCGTTCCCTGTCACCCGAATGCCAGGAGGCTTCCCACCGTCGACATGGAATCTGTTTATGCCTTCTTAGCATGCGCATATACCTGATTGGTACTGCATACTCACATATGATCAAGTACCAAGAGACCAAACCAAGTCCTAGATTTGCGCATGAGCGTACGCTCTTCATCATCCACCACCACACCTGTCATATCATAAACCCCTTCGGTCTCTTTCATCGTCAGTCTTTGTATCAGTTCCTCAAAAGCTTCATCTAGCCCTAAATCCAACGCCATCCTCGTTGCAAAAGACAGGATCAAGGACCGCTCGGCAGAGTAGCAGGCTACAACGAGCAAAGCCTGCACGGATTCCAAGCAATTGAGGTTTTTATTCTGAATAATCACGTTTATCGATCTCTTGAGTTCGGCATGGAGTAGATCGGGGATCTGAGATCCAGACCCTGGAATTGTCAGTGAGTTGTCACTTATTCGACTGGATTCTGTATCAATCGTACTGATCTCAACTCGACTACCAATCGTGCAGATAGCATTGAATAGAATGCTACTTCGAGCACGCACGGAGTTGAACGTGTCGATATCTGGATCAAATACTGGGATATACCTATCCTAAGTCCCCTATGCATAAGCCCTGAACATCATGGCTAGATTGAAGAAATCACATACACAGCCTTGAAAGAAACTATACTGCATATTAGCAAATACCAGGAAACAGCACCAAACATGACGGCAACATACGTCCTAAAGCACGACATAGCCTGATCAGCCGTCATCATCCCCCTACTAATAAAATCCAATACTGGCTCTTCCTTAATATCGAACCCTGACCGTCGCAACCTGGTAGGCCGAGCAGCCTCCATCCCAGGAGTTTGGTACTGAAATACGCTAGCATCATGGTCCCTATGGGTCACAGGATATCTAGCTCCTCGCCAATGGTGATGATACCCACCCATTCCTCCCGTAGCAAGAAATGCCGGCATCGTCCCAGGATCAGACATGAAATGAGCTGAAGCGGGAGAAGTGACAGCAATCTGCTGCTGTTGCTGCGTAGACTGCCGGAGTAGTAGCTCGTTCACATTGCTTAATTTCTCCCGTAGACGCTGTACTTCTGCTTCGACATTCTCCAGGCGTCTGAACATGGTACCCTGGTCAACAAACGAACAGCTTCTCCAACCGGAAATAAGAGGGTGATGCATACAAAACAGCAGGATCCTTCGGAATCTCAAAGAATACACATCGTTTCCTTGCACGCTTACATCTATCCGTCTTCATTAGTACACTCATCTCAGAATTCATTAGTATAAACGTACCTCGTACACGGCCCTTTACCATCGCATTTGACCTATATCACCCAACATATTAGCAAAACAATAGAATCGAACCCAAGACACAGTGTCGCAGTAGTAAGAAAGATAGACGTACTTTCGACTGCCGACAAGAAGTACATGCTTTCTGGATCATTTAATCAAATATTAGCAGTTCTTCCTTCATCTAGACGGTAGCTACTGTGCTAGCAGCATCGGCAGCTCATGCAACTCCCAAGGAGACCTAGGAATCAAGTCAAGCAACCATACCGGGATACGCTTCTTCCCAACTGGAGCGGATACCGCGCAGGAGGATTCCTCATCTGAGTCCATTATTAACTTTCCGAGTAGGTATAGATGCTTGCGCTAGATTAGAGATAAGACTGCATCAGTTAATGCAGGGTATGCGCACTGATCGTCGGAAGAAGGAGTCGGTTTGGAATGGGGTAAATAGATTGGAACGGGGATGGCATGAGAGGAAAAGGCGGGGCCCCACGCCGTCGCCGGGGGATTGCCGAGTCGGCTATTGGAAGGTACTAACTACGTACGAACTTGGTTTGATTGCGGTTGGTTTTTATTTACCGGCTGTCTAGCTTTTGATTCATGTATTATACTAAGAACATGGTAATATGTTATTGACTCTTGTCAATAACAGATACTCTCCATAGACTGAAAAACATGATAACATGAAATGAACGCTACAAAATAACCCGCATATTTCTCAAGACATTCCATAATTCCTTGCCTTATTGGCGTGAAGATCCCGCTCTTAGTATACATAGACGAAATCCTCGTTCTCCCAGTCCGTCAGGTCCTTGAACGCATTGTCGTCGCCAAGCGTCTCCTGAGGTGCTTCGGTCTTGTCGATTGGGACCGCTCCTACGGCTTGCATGGAGTGGTCGATGATCTTTGCGCTCTTTCCCATGCTCACTCGCTTTTGCTCGTGTTTCTTGTTTAGGAAGAAGAGGTATCCCATGTTCAATCTAAGAGTAGATGAGTAGGTGAAGCTAAATCATGGTGTGGGGGACTTACGCGCAAAGCAGGATGAGAACACAGAACATGGCGAGGCTGTTTGTATGCATGATCAGTATCGTAAACAGTCGAATATTGGCTCTTTGCAGGCTTACTTGGAGAGCAGACCACGTCTATATAGCGGTGCTTCGGTCGTAGTGTACAGGTTCGATCCTAGGACCTGTTTCATGTCAATGTTTGACCCTGCTTTCCGGACTGGTTGGGTTACATACGTTACCAGCACATTGTCCAACGAGTAGAATACCGTTCACAAGCTTCTTCTTCGTTTCGCCTCCTGTGTTACCAGCAGACCACGAGTAGATCAAGGGTGCTATAGTCTGTTAGCTTGGGCCCGTTTGCGCAATGCATAGAGACATACTAATTCCTGGGTATACAGAGATCTAGCAAATATTAGCGAGCACATTGCAGACATCAATATAAAACTTACAATGTAATATCCTGCAAGCAGTGCCCCATTGTGATTACCATCGTGCGGAATCTGCAACAACATTACACATCCCGCAATAGCAGGCAAACAGAGCAAAGCTATGACAGGACCCTTCATCTGGAGCTTAGTCGCCATCCACGCCCCTCCCATAGTTGCAATGAGCTGGACAGCGCCAAAAGGTATATTGAAGAGGATTGTGTCAAATTGGTTGAATCCGAATGCTTCGATGATCAATGGCCCGAAGGTCGAGATACCGCCGCTGGGGATTCTGTGATACCGTCAGTACGTTCCGCTTCAATGCTCGAATAAAGTATCTTACGAAATTGAGAACATCAAAGCAAACCAGAAGAAAGACTTTATGTCGAGGCATGTTTCTTTCACATGCTGCCATTTCCACTCGTGCGTTTCGATACCTTGCTGGTTCATACGAAGTCTAGCCACAGGTGTGAGCATTTGGCGCATTTTATAACAGCTGCATAGTAGATACCTTTCAATAGCCAGAACTTTATCCTCTTCATGAAGGAATTTGGACTTCATCGGCGAGTCGGGTGTCAGAATACTAAGATATAAAGGTCAGGAGGGTGCAACGTTCGTCGTTGGAACGGCGTGTCTCACAATACAACGGCAGAGAAAACAATCGTGATGAGCCCGAAAAACAAGAAGATAATCTGTGGTACAGTTAGCATCTCGCCTCCGTGATGGTGAAGATAACCCACCTGGTAGGGCTCGAAGACCGAAGATCCAATGTGACCAAGACCGTAGGTTATCAGACTTCCAAACTAGATCGTAGTCCCCATTAGCAGTCATACATAACAAGTAGGTTGGAAAACTAAAACTCACCATGTTCACCACTCCGTTCATAGCATACCATGAACCAAGCCGGACGGGCTGTTCTCGTCGTCGATACCACATTTGCGTGATCGCAATGAACGCCGGCGCTTGTCATCCAACCTCAGCCCTAGTACAAGACAATCGATTATGGCTAGAGGGAATACTCACGTATACCAGCTTCAAAGAGACCCAGAAACATCCGACAGACCAACAACTTCGCAAAAGTGTTCGCTGGGGTCATGCATGTCAGGGCAATGCCCCAGCAAAAGGTCGTACATGCCAGGAACTTCCCCAGAGGCACCTTGACCAGAATGTAGGCGACGAATGGCTGAGCAACGAGTTGCACCAGGTATACGACCGCCCCCAGCCACGAGTATTCCTGCCCATGTAGATGGGCCTTCTCGACCAAACCAAAGACCGACGCGTATGAGAGAGTCGACTTATCGACCTGCTGCAGGAAATAGATTCCCAGCAGGATAGGCAGGAGCCTAAGATCAATCTTCCGAAGGACTTTGGCGTTGTTCTCGGGCGTTAGGATGGCTGAATGACCTGCGTCTCTCATGAGGTCAAGAGCTGTATCCTGAGTAGGTTCGTTTGCATGTTGCAGCTCCCGACGTGGCGCGTTCTCGATTGATTCAATATGCTCATCTTGTGTCTTGTCTGCGGGCGTTGTTCCTTGTTTGTGGGACATGGTTCTTCGTCTGTTCTTCTGTACTGTAACTGTACTTGAAATAGCCCTAACAAGACGACCGTCTCTCCAGTAGGGAAAATAAATGTTTCAACCTTCAGCAAGAGTGATTCAGAACGAAGAGAAGATTCCCTAAGGACCAAGACAAAACCCAGACAAAGGGTCACAACAGCACTGGGTAATAGCATATCCCCCTTCATCGTACACCTACACTCCAAAGGGCAACCCCGTGGGGAAAGCCTCATCCTCTGCCCCGGACGGAAGCAGCCCAAACCCGACGCGGGAGCGAATCAATTCAGCCATGGCTCGTCACGACGCCCATGACAAGATTAGCGTCGAGGTAGTCGTTCCATCCCGGCAACACACCACGGGATAACATGACGTGGAAACTGTCGGACATTATCCGATGCGACATCCAATGAATTGCAGTTGTGCCATCACCGTGCAGGTGAGTTCATGGGAGTGGGGAGATACTTGACGTTGAACAGCATCTAGCTTCGGATTTCGGGCACGAAAAGCGAAGGACCGAGTACAAAAAGTATCTCCAGCTTCGCTTGGGTGTGGGTCACGGGGACGCGGGGGAGCACAAAGTGTGGGGGAAAATTCACTAACCCTGTAGGACAAAGTAGTGCTTTGTGCCAGACGTGTCGGAGATACTCCCCGAAATCCGACTATACAGCTCCACGCTGGTGGGCCTCAACGGCACTGCTCCTCACGCAATGCCGGTGGGACAGAGGCATGTAGAATCACTCAAATAGAGCGGTATCCAAGCTTGGATCCGGTTTCTGTAGTTGTATCCTCATTCGCATTCACTCAATTGACCCTGTTCAAGGGAGTACACACAACAATGCCTCAAAAAGAGTTCGTCCCCAAGACCTATCAAGAGTCTCCATCTGGGGCTCAAGACTCCTCCTCTGTACATCTTCGCTCGAGCCCCGATGAGCGTTCCTTCGACTTCTCCTTTGAACCCATTCGCGAGAACTTATTCAGAGTCACCTTCTCGTCGCAAGACCACCCTCTCCCTCCCTTTCCCAGTGTGACCAAGCCAGCAACAAACCTAGATGGAGTCCAAGTCTCCACTACAGGCGGTTCGAATCAAAAGACAATCGAAGTGGGAGGCGTCACAGCGTCCGTTGACTGGAGCAACACCCCAGTCGTCTCCCTATCATGGAAGGGCACCGAGAAGCCCTTATATCGCGATCTGCCACTTCGCTCCTATGTCGCAGACTCCACCGGCATCGCACACTACACAGAGCATGACCGTGATTGCCTTCACGTTGGACTTGGCGAGAAAAGAGCTCCCATGGACCTCACAGGACGCCATTTCCAGCTCTCAGCCACCGACAGCTTCGGATATGATGTTTACAACACCGATCCTCTATACAAGCACATTCCTCTGCTGATCAAGGCATCGCCTGATGGATGTGTGGCCATCTTCTCCACGACACATGGCAGAGGCACCTGGTCTGTCGGCTCGGAGGTCGACGGCCTCTGGGGCCACTTCAAAGTCTACCGTCAAGACTACGGCGGATTGGAGCAGTATCTCATCGTCGGCAAGACGCTCAAGGACGTTGTGCGCTCCTACGCAGAGCTTGTCGGTCTTCCGATCCTCGTCCCCAGATGGGCATATGGCTACATCTCAGGTGGATACAAGTACACCATGCTTGACGACCCGCCTGCTCACGAGGCATTGATGGAGTTCGCAGACAAGCTGGAGGAGCACGGCATCCCCTGCTCCGCACACCAAATGAGTTCCGGATACTCGATCGCTGAAACAGAGCCTAAAGTCCGCAATGTCTTCACATGGAACAAACATCGCTTCCCCAATCCCGAAGAGTGGATTGCCAAATACCATGGTCGGGGTATCCGCCTTCTCTCCAATATCAAGCCATTCCTGCTCGCCTCACACCCCGACTTCCAGAAGCTTATTGATTCGAACGGGTTCTTCAAGGACCCTGCGAGCAACAAGCCGGGCTACATGCGACTGTGGAGCGCCGGAGGCGCAACAGGAGGTGACGGATGTCACATCGACTTTTCATCCGCTGTTGCGTTCAAGTGGTGGTATGACGGCGTGCAGAGCCTGAAGCGCGCCGGAATCGACGCCATGTGGAACGACAACAACGAGTACACGCTCCCAGACGACGATTGGAAGTTAGCATTGGACGAGCCAACCGTCTCCGAGGCCGTCAAGAAGGGCGTCGAGAACTCCGTCGGCCAGTGGGGTCGCGCCATGCACACCGAACTCATGGGCAAAGCCTCCCATGACGCTCTGCTCAACATCGAGCCCAACCACAGACCATTCGTCCTGACTCGCAGTGCCACGGCAGGTACAATGCGCTACGCCGCCAGCACCTGGAGCGGAGACAACGTCACCAGCTGGGAGGGCATGAAGGGAGCGAACGCTCTGTCCCTCAGCGCAGGTATCTCTCTTCTGCAATGTTGCGGTCACGATATCGGAGGATTCGAAGGACCTCAGCCCTCTCCTGAGCTGCTGCTCAGATGGATCCAGCTGGGTATCCACTCGCCTCGGTTCGCCATCAATTGCTTCAAGACATCTCCTGGGAACAGCTCCGTCGGGGACGTCATCGAGCCATGGATGTACCCCGAGATTACCCCTCTCGTCCGTGATACAATCAAGCGTCGCTACGAGATCCTCCCTTACATCTACTCCCTCGGTCTAGAAAGCCATCTGACGGCGTCCCCGCCCCAGCGCTGGGTAGGATGGGGCTATGAATCCGACCCGGAAGTATGGACGAAGGTCCTGAAATCGGGCGACGAGCAGTTCTGGTTCGGTGACACCATCATGGTCGGCGGTGTCTACGAGCCTGGCGTGAACGTTGCCAAGTTATACCTTCCCCGTAAGGCGAATGACAAGTTCGACTTTGGGTACGTGAACATGAACGAGCCTTATAACTACCTCGCCTCCGGACAATGGGTGGAAGTACCCTCCGAATGGAGGAAGAGCATTCCCCTTCTGGCTAGAATCGGCGGTGCCATCCCTGTCGGAAAGCCCGTCCATACCAGGGTCCCTGGCGATGACACTCCGGCTTCGGTGGCTGTGAAAGAGGTCGATGATTACCGTGGAGTCGAAGTCTTCCCGCCCCGTGGTAGTTCTCATGGCCAGGTGTTCAGTACTACTTGGTTTGAAGATGATGGTATCTCGCTTGAGGCGCGCATCTCGGAGTATACTATCACGTATAGTTCCACGGAGGAGAAGGTTATTGTTGGATTCTCTCGTGATGAGAAGTCTGGATTTGTTCCTGCTTGGAAAGATCTTGATATCGTCCTTCATAATGGCGATGAGAGACGCGTTGTGTCGGATATTGGGAAGACTGTGGAGTATAAGGGTAAGGACTCTCGGGGACGCGTGGTTTATACCTTGAAGAACTAGATAGGGGATGTTGTGGTTGGTTTAGATAGTTTGTTGAAGCTTTTGGAAATATGTGGTGGAAATTGGGTGGAAATTGTTTACCCAGATCATGATGAGAAATGCATGATGATAGATGTCAGTGGCGTTATATAGTATAGAAGGGGTTGAATTCTGAGTCAATTGTTTGTTGTGGCATACATAAATAAGTAGTCTTAATAATACCTAGTAAATACCCATAGGACATTGAGGCTGACTGAAACGCAGTCAACCTAGGCGTAAGGCGTGGTCGGCCATGAACTGCGCAAACAGCTAAGGGGAACAAATGGACAAGACTATCCTAAACCATGAGACTAGACCAGAAGATCAATTCAAATAGCATTGTTGATACATGATATAACACCAGAGAAAAGGAAAATTTACAATGTCCTATACAATACAATCCCAGCCGAAAGTTCAGATGTAGACAGACAGATATCAATAAGAGCAATAGTCAACACTTCGACTCTATTCGTCATCCTTGGAGGCCCCTTCCTTAGGCTTGTCCAGCGGGCTTCCCTCAGAAGGGACTTCCTCAGACACAACATCCTGAGAGGCTTCAGGCGTCTGTCCTTCCGCAGTCTCCAGGGTCGTCTCCTCTACTTGTTGACGGAGTGGTTGCATGAGTTTATACGTCCACTCACCCTTGCGCGCTAGCGCCAATCTTCTCTGCTGACCCGCTTCTCCGGCCCGTCCCAGCACACCAGCAATCAGAGTCACGGAACGCAAACTGTCGTCGTTGGCAGGGATGGGGTATGTGACACGAGTCGGGTCGGCGTCAGTGTCGATGATACCGATAGTCGGGACGTTGTTGAGACCACACTCGTGCAACAGGACAACGTTCTCGACGGGGTTCAAGCAAACAACAAGGTCGGGCTTAAGTGCACGGTAACCTTCCAATTCCTCTTTCCAGAGGTCCTCAATCGTCTCATCCAAGCCGTTCACGATCTTCTTGTCGCAATGGCCCAAGATCTGCTGGCCATTGGTCAAACTACCAGGGATCCAACGCTCGAAAATGTGATATCCCTGAGCCAGTTCCGCGGCTCTGACCACCGCACGCTTCTGACCCTTTCGCGTGCCTGCAAAGAGAACTAATCCACCCCGGAAGGCAACTTCCTCCACGATCTTGGCCGCACGTCGGAGGTAAGCCGCCGTGATGTCAAGAGAAATAATGTGGGTTCCCTCCCTGATACCGAAGATATAGCGCGAGTTCTGGGGGTTCCAGCGGGAAGTCGAGTGTCCAAGGTGTGTCTGGTTGGCGAGGAGCATTTCGAGGGTAACGTCGGTGGCTTTGGGAGGGTTTTTGAGGAGGCTCTCTGGCCGGTAGACGCCGGTCACATCGCTACCGAGACTGTGGAATTTGATCCCTGGAAAGAAGAAGATGTGTTAGCTTTCCCTTCAGGCAGCGGCAGGCCTCACGGCCATTATATTGCGGCACTTACTGCGGAGCGTGTTCGGATCCAATTTCTCTTGTGCACCAGATGTACCAGGCTCCGGCACCGCAACAGCCGGTGCAGGCGTCTCTAATTGAGGTGCTTGCTCTGCAACGATAGTCTGTACTGGAGTCTGGCCAGTCGTCTCCGTGGAAGAGAATCGGGACAAGATGCGCGACTGACGGGGAAGAGCCCGAAGCTGGCGGCCTGAATGAAGACGGGGGAATCAGCACCGATATTTCCTATCAATCATTCCAATCCATAGAATAAACTCACTTTGCCGCACAAGTTGCCGAACAATCATACTGTCTTGTGTTGGCCGGAGTTCTGGTCTATCACAGCTGGTTCAAGGGAATCTTCCGCTCGAACTTTTGATGTCGGGCTTGGCAACAACAGGTGCCTGAGGCGGGTAGATGATACGCTAAACCGTTTACGGAACCAGTTCTAGATGTCGGGGAAATCAACTCGATCCCAGCAATTCCGATGCATCCATCTCACACTACTAGTTGCTTACTTCGTAATTGCAGCACACCACCTGAACGGTGATTTATTGTTCCAGAGAACCGCCAAACACAAACATGACCACCTACCAGATCCTAACAACGAGAGACAACGTCAAACGAACCAACAGTAGCACTCGCATATCGCCCAGACCGCCAAACCATCCCTCAACAGCAGAGACCAAACACAACAGCCCAATAACAAACCTTGTACTTACACCACTCCGACATCTCCCGGAAAGAGTACGCAGGATGTCACTTGATTCCACCAATCGACCACTACATCCCCTAGACCATCATGCAGAACACAGCACGGTAGTCAACCGCCCAAATGCCAATCTGCAAGTAAGTACAAAGTAGGGTAGGTTGGTAAATACATAACCCAACATATCAATACACACAGAGAAAACGACGATCATATACATACACAAAACCGAACCTGCTCCGCCCCAAAACGAGGCAAACAATTGCCTATGAAGCGACACGCGTACTCACCAATCCCTGTCCATGTTAACTATTTGTCAGGTCATATGTCAAAGTCAACTTGCAGTGTGTGGGTGATCCATCCGACGCTTTAACCGCTCAGTCTCAGCCACGATCATTGATGGTCTATCTCTCTCTCTATCTATCTATCTATCTATCTGTTTGAGGTAATCGAGATGTCAAGGTGGGGAATTCGGGTTAGGGGAAGAAGTAAGCCGGGACATGTTGGGCCGCAGAAGTTTCGCACTATTCGCTTTGGGAAAGTGTGCTTTTCTCATTTTGACATGATCACCATCGTATTGTAGACAAGACGAGGAGGAGGTTACATCAATCTATTTCTCTAGTTATGCCCTCTAGATTGTGTAACGTGGGGTTAGATAGTTGGAGAAGAAATGTAAAGAGGCATTTTTTCTTTTCCGTTGGAATGTGCGGGATCTTGTTTTCTTGTCGGATACTAAACCGGCAATTACTACTAGTATCCTTGGAGGTATCTTTGTGAGGGGGCCAAAACTTCCTGCTGTTAGTAGTATCAGAAATTACAGCAGACATTACTGGTTGATGATGAGCTGGCTTTCGCTGATCACCTTCACAACGATTCAACTTATTTTCCGGCATAAGACAAGACAGAAAAGCAAAGGGTGGGGTCGGGTCGTCGAGACTTTTCCACCCCGCCACCAACCTGAAACCCCTCATCCTGTTAACATCATGGGGCGAACTCAAATGCGTGAAGATCGGTCAAGTGGTGGGTGGTGGGAGGATGGTCGGATCGCGATTTTCTCTCCAAGGATTGGAGCTACGTGGGAATTTACAGTTCTACGGCTGTCAAAATGACTGCTCAGGAGCAAATGTAAATGAGGCCAAAGACTGTATGATTCTTCGTAACGTAACCACAGAAGAGCTATGTAGACTGGAATACAGCGTTGGTATCAAGATTAAGAATTTCATCCGCGCCGGGTATGTGTAACAAGCAAAGCGATCTCAGTAATAGCAATGAGAAGAAAATGTAGAAAAAGCGATTCAATAATTCTTCATCCAAAACCCGGCCGGCCGAACGAAGCAAAAGTCGAAATTTCAGTCATTCACGGTAGTCGCAAGGGAATTCGTAAGAATAAACAGGAAGAAAGCAATCGGTTTAGGAGAGAAGGAGAACCGTCTATCGCTTGAAGAAGCCACCAAGCTGGTCCATCATGCCACCGCCACCGTGGGACTGGCCACCCTGAGGGGGGTAACCACCATAGCTGCTCTGGTATTCCTGCTGCTGCTCGTCCTTGTGCTTGTGCTTCTTGATGGCATCCTCGGCGATGCTTCCCATGATGGCTCCACCGATGGTTCCGAGGATTCCGTGATCGGCCTTGTGACCGGCAAATCCGCCCGCAAGACCACCGGCAATGGCACCACCGAGGCCACGCTCACCCTCCTGAGCTCCGCCGGGGGCACCCTGGTTGTACCTAAAGACAAACAATGTTAGCTAGAGCTCATGAATATCAAGGTACTATAGTGTATATAACATACTCGCCACGCTGGTCCTGGCCGTACTGCTGACCACCCTGGTGCTGCTGGCCGTACTGGCCCTCACCATACTGGGACTGTCCACCACCGCCGTAGTAGTCGCTAGAGGCACCACCCTGGCCGCCGTGCTGCTGGTGCTGGTGCTGGCTGTACTGGTCATAGCCACCCTGCTGGCCATATCCTTGCTGCTGAGGGTATCCGCCCTGCTGACCGTATCCACCTTGGCCGTAGCCGCCCTGGTTGTAACCACCCTGCTGGTGGCCGTAGTAGCCCTGGTTGTTGTATCCGTCGTAGCCAGACATGGTGATGATGTGGATTGGAGTTGTAGAGGTAGTTGATTGATTAATAGGTAAGGTTGATAGAAGAAGGAAGTGGAGTGGATTTAGTAAGATGATGGAAGGTAAGACAAAACGAGGGGTTCCCAGGCCTTTTATAGTGGGATATTTGGCCACTGGATAAGGTGATCTGGCACTGCAGGGCTGAGCAGGCGCAGTGCTGACTCGCCCAGAAGGTGAGCCCCACCAAGATTCAATGATGCCCCCGCTACGCCAAGAGCCCAGCGCCAGCTGAGAAAACACGGGAACAAGTAATTACGCTGTTCAGTCACAGCCCCCGGTCAGAAATTAACCCGGTTTGAAGTGAGATTACGACTTCTATTGTGGCTGTTCGTTGAGGCTGATGCCGTACGGAATCACTAGATCCCCCGCCACCTTGCAGCGCGGGGTGGCTGTGCCATGTGTTCATCTTGGGCGCAGGGCGGGTGTTGATCTGGTCTTCCTTTCGGAATTGCTCCCCGCCAACCTGGGGATCAGGTACTTTTCCTTTTCTTTTGCTTTGCCTGACAGTGGCAAATTCCAACGGGCGTCTATAGATTGATCATGCCTGTCATTATGCAATTACTTCGATACGCAGCGCATTACACATCCGGCCCCTTACTTTCCCTTCACCCCCATAGTAAGCGCCAGAGCTAGCCGCGACTGGAATTTTCGGCCTCGGAGTTAGCGCGGGTACATCGGTGACGTTACCATGGTATAATATTACACATCATACCGAGCTCACATGTGGCTCTCACACAGCCGCCCAGTGGCTTAGCCACCATTGTTGCATATTGCCATAGAATAGTCAACTGCGTGCGCACATTTACTTAAGTATGGCTGTGCGAATCCATAAATAGTACTTACTACGTACTGATGCCGCGATGCCGATACTGTATAGTACCAATACCATCCAGTCACCACCCTATTGGGCAGACTCAACATCGCAACCATCTGCTGGAGTTTTTACCGAAATAAGCCCCCATAATCCCTTCCCTGGAAATGCCGGATCATCGGAATAGCACATCTCCGTGTTTGCCGGGTACTCTACGTACAACTTACCCAAGTAAGTAGGGTTGTTCCTAATTGGGGTCCAAAAACGACCGGCATTAGCAGGCAGACACATTATTACACTATTAGTGCAGAATTCCGTCCGCCTAGTGTTGCGAACACGTACGAGCAGTGGAGGGATCCGGAGTGAATCTGGTCTCTGAGTGGATCACTCGTCTTTGGTTCCAGGCAGTTTTACTGGGTTTCGCTTCTCTTGGACCCTTGGCGGGTTGAAACTTGCAACGATCCGGGCCTCGGGGCTATGGGGCACCACTGGGCAGTTGATCAGATCAGATACGCAGATAGAGAGATGATGTGCCCGGTTTTAGGTAGTCTAGATATCTTGTAGATCACAGGTGGCCGAGTTAGCCTTGTCGAATGTCATTCTAGAATCCTCGGGTGTGCTGCGCCGAGATTAGTTCAGGGCGCACACCCTTCCTTGTGTATGGCGGCTGTTGTTGCTCTGCCTAGCATCGGGCGGGATGTCAGAGCTGAAGGTCGATTCCACCTTGAAGCATGATGTCAACTGTAGGCAGCAAATAATTTCTAAAATATGGCAGAAGGCTGAATAATAAGCTGGGCAATCTGCAAATACCATGCTTGGTCATCCCTCGTAGAATCACGATCACGATGGAATGATCCACGGACCCAAGTGCCTTCCTTTATGTATAAAGACGCGGGGCCATAATCAACCACTATACAGTGCTTACAGCCTTACAACACCAACCCAGCAATAAGCAACCACTTACCCATCTTTATCAAACCTTATCATACCAAGATTCACTCCAAACCCCTTACAACCAACGCAGTACAACCATCTCCCCAGCATACGCAAAATGCAAGGTTAACCGCACTACCATGTTGCACATCTCAAGCTTCCTACACTCAGCCAGCCCACGCGGCACCACATAATTCATTTCATTCCTCGATCAATAAACATCTCAAGTATTCGCAAGGTGCTCTCAAAAAAGTGCCCCTCAAAATCCCCAAGAACTAGTCTAGACAGATCATCATCTGACTCCAGCGACCAGCTGGTGGAAGCAAACAGATTGGTCGCCTTTAAGGTTATACTTTACGCGGTGCCTCTCGTGGTGGATAGCCCGCCTGACCGACAACTGCGGCATCAGTAAGTTAGTAGTATACTATGGAGGGGGCGAGGGAAGCATGTTTCAACTGTAAACCAGCACCCACTTACGACCGTCACCGAAATTATTCTTTGACTACGATGAACACATGGATCATCCTGAAAATTCGCTCATAGTTGGGTTTGCAATCATGGTGTGCGACAATTGTAGATCCACGCCTGTAGGTGGCAGGGGGTGCCACTGCGTATTTGCTTCTGTTTTAAATAGTGCGTAGCGTTCCTTCCCTGGAATGCAGAAAAAATGAGGGAGCTTTCTACGGTCTTTCGACTTCGAGATCATTCATCAAAGGACTCCTGACCTATACTAGTTGTCGATGTGTGTTGACCTTACGTCTGAAACCCCAGCAAATATTGTCGGATATATATAGTGCATCAGCTGGGCCTTACACACAAAATGAAATCCGTGCTCATTCTACTATCCCCCTTATGCCTTTCTACCATCTTATACGCATCCCCAACATCTACGCCCAACCCCAACCCTCCGACAGTGTATCTCATCCGTCATGGCGAGAAACCCCCAGATCCTGGGGACAGTGGACTAAATGCCGATGGGTTCAAACGCGCCGAGTGCCTCCGGGAAGTATTCGGCGTGGGGTCACCTTATGAAATAGGCCATGTGATGGCACCTAAGATCAATAAGCGTAAGATATGGCGCATCTCAGGCGGTTATTCCTACTTTCAGGTCGAATAAGCTAATGTTTATGTTGGTGACTGCTCAGGAGGCCAGCATAGGCGTTCCTATGAGACCGTCCTCCCCGTCGCACAAGACCTTGGCCTCTCCGTTGATACATCCTGCAAGCGCAATCACGTTAAGTGTGTGGCGAAACGGATCAGAGAGTTCAAGGGAACAGGGAATATTCTGATCTCCTGGCGCCATGGTAAGATGAGGCAGATTGTCCAGGAGCTGGGATATGCGGACCCTCCTGAATATCCTGATGATCGGTAAGTTATTAGAGGGTTTGGTCATAGACTAGATGAATTACTAATGAATGGGTTTCCTATCTAGGTTCGATTTGATCTGGACGATTCCATTTCCTTATGACAATATCACTGAGATTCAAAGCGAAGAATGTCCGGAATTGGACGTGCCAGTGCCAGCACTACTGAAAGTGCAAGAGTAAATCATCATGGGCTGGTACCTGATGAGGAAACCCGCTGTCTATATGGTATGGGGTTCTTAATGAAGTTGATGACTTTCTGTATGGTGTGAACAAATTCATGTCTTTTGTGCACCGACTTATGGTAGCTGTATAATGATGAGTGAGCATAGTACTGTAGTTATCGAGTAGCTGTAATCTCATTGACCAGTTGCTACTGCACAAGGTCAAACATTAATCCGAACAACAGTCTGTGTGCGCGGGCGGTGAACAGCCGAGCGGAGACAGAGCGCCAAGATTTCAACCTGCCCACCCAATTTTTTCGAGGTATCGCGGCCTTCACTACGTTCGACCGAGCGTTGCCCAAATTTCTCATCAACCTCCAGTATATTACTGGTTCAACGGCTTGGATCCCTTGGAAGGTCTGCGGTCACTCTGTTTCTTGAAGGATGGATGATATCGAGGTGTGTTGTTCCGTGCATTGCATTATGCCCGATCACGAGGTTGACCTCCTCTATTTTTTCTTCTTCAGGAACGCCTGCGAAGCCATGCTCAGGCCTTCGACGGTTTACTGTCGCTGATCCCGGCGAAATTTTATTACGGCGAAGATGGCAGTGTATGTGACTTGTCCAATCTTTTCTTGCTGCAAAATTTCCTCCTGCCCTTCCTTTTCTCCCTTCGTCTCATTTAGCGTCGCGCTTTAGACACAGCTGACCAGTGGTTCCTGAAACAGGATCAATGGCAGCGCAAGAAGCAGACTAAGGAGCAGGCCCGTGAAGCCAAGCGGGCAAAGTTGGACCCCGATTCCGCCAAGTCAGCCAAGGATGTGATGGACGAGAATGCACGCAAGCGTAAACGTGACGAGGAAGGGAATGGGGAAGAAGACGACTCTTCTGATAACGGCGAACTCGGCTCCGAGAAGCCCAAGGAAGGATTGAAGAGAGGAGATGCCAACTCAAAGAAGCAAAAGCAGGCCGAAGACTCGGCCGATGCGGAGCGCACACCCGCCAAGTCGGCTGAAGAGGCAGAAGCGCGCAAGAAGTTGAAGGAGGAAAAGAAGGCCCAGAAGAAAGCTGCTCAGAAGGAGAAGAAGAAGGCCAAGGAAGCCGCTAGGAAGGTCAAGGTAGCCGAGCAGCCCGAAGAGACCGAGACACCTGCTGTGCAAAAATCCGAGTCGACCCCCGCCAACAAGACCAAGGAACAAAAACAAGAACAAGAGGACAGCGATAGTGATGACAGTGAAATTGCGGATGGCGTCCCCGCCGAAGGTCTCTCGCTCGAGTTCAACGCCGAACAAGAAGAACAACCATCCTCTTCTGCGTCCACCCCCAACTCCCCTGGGTTCGATGCTTCCAATCCCCAATCGGGCAGCTCTTCCATATCCTCCATTGTTCCCCCCACCGAAGCCTCCAAATCCTCCACCTCCGAACCTAAGCCTCTCAAGCCTACCCCCGATGAGCTTAAGCAACGGTTACAGAAGCGGCTCGATGAACTTCGCGCAGCCCGCCATGCCGATGGGCTCAACGGAAAGCCCGCTAGAAACCGTCAAGAGCTAATCGAAGCTCGCCGCCAAAAAGCCGAGCAACGCAAAGCGCACAAGAAGGAGCTGCGCCAAAAGGCTAGAGAAGAGGAGCAACGGCTGAAGGATGAAGCCATGGTCCGCCGCTTTTCTCCTGGTGGCTCGGGATCCCTTCTCGCCTCCCCGCGCTCACCCGCTGATTCCGTCGGCTCGAACAACAACTACGCTTTTGGCCGCGTTGTCTTCGCAGATGGCCAACACGCCGACCCCACTCTTTCCGGAGTCCGGGAGCAACCTAAGAGCCACGGTCCTAAAGACCCTGCCGCAGCCCTGAAGGCTGTTGAAGCGAAGAAGGCCAAGCTCGCCGCCATGGACGAGCAGAAGCGGGCTGACATCGAGGAGAAGGACCTATGGCTTAACGCGAAGAAGCGGGCACATGGTGAACGGGTCCGTGACGACACATCATTGCTGAAGAAGGCGCTTAAGCGCAAGGAATCGGCGAAGAAGAAGTCTGAGCGCGAATGGAAGGAGCGTCTGGAAGCTGTGAAGAAGGGTAAGGACATGAAGCAGCAGAAGCGTGAAGAGAACCTCCGGAAGCGCCGAGAGGAGAAGGGCAACAAGGGAGGCGGCAAGAAGAAGCAGGCCGGAGGAGGTAAGAAGAAGTCCAGACCGGGCTTTGAGGGCAGCTTCAAGGCCAAGTCTGGAGGCAAGAAATAAGCAAACATTGTGCTGCTGTGTTGGAAGAAGAAGTGGAGACCCGTCCAAAGTGTAATATCAAGCTGCAATCTCTGATCATGTGTACATACATGCACAGAAGAATGGGGGCCGGAAGATTCAAAAACAAAACAAACCAAAGGGAAAAAGGAAGAACAAAAGGGAAAACTCAGAGAGGAGCAGAAACATGCTACAGATTGAGCAAAAGAAAGCTCGAGACCAAAAAGTTGAAGGGAGTGCGGGCATTGGAGAAACGGTGTTTGGGGAGTTTAAACTCTGGAGGTTCTCTGTTCATTTTGTGCATATATACCGAATCTCACGAAGCATTTTTTGTCTTTGTTTGTTGTTTCTTATGCCAGCTGAGCTTGCACAACTACTACATTCATGTACGAATTTGATTGAGTATGCACAATGCAGTTCGCAGCACAGTAGCTAAGAGACAAGACTCTATAAAGAGACCTTAGCTAACCATGCATACCAATAGTCATCATCTTCATTAGAATTGTCTGCCAGCAAACTTTTGTCTATGTCGTAACTCAGTCCAAGTCATACCTCATAAGTCATGAACCCGAAAGAGTTACCCATCATCAATCATCATCATCACTCATCCATCATCTATCATCTATCACCACCATCTATCAATCTATCATCATCAAAACTTTTACCCCCCTTCTCAACCTCAACCTCAAACCCCTCCCCAATATATGAAACTGAAGAAAGAAATCAAGCAAACCTCTCATCCCTCGCCTCCAAACACGCATCCACCATCCCATCAACAGCCAACCCCCTCTGCACCTCCGTACAACACCCAATCTTGACCAACTCCGACAAAGCCTCACCCACCCAATTCTGACAATTCCACCCGGGGAGATCATTCCGCACTTTAACCCTAGCGCACGCATCCCTGATCATCTTCCTAGAGATAGTAGTAGAGTTATTATCACCACTTACCGTCGTTACGACGGGGATATTCCGCTCTAGTTTCGCGCTCTGCGTGGGATTCGCCCCGGTTACCTCAACGAATTTAAATCCCCCGGGGGGCCCCGTGATGTGGAACATGCTTTGTTGATTGTCGGGGTATGTGGTGAGGAGGAGCACGGCGTGGCGGTATTTGATGAAGTCGAGGGGGGAGCCGTGGAAGACGAGGAGGGAGAGGGTGGTCGTTGTTAGGGACATTGTTGATGGGTAGTTAGGGTATGAGGGCTGGGTTGGGTTGGATGGGATGGGATGGTGATTCTCTCATTGTAAGAAAAGCCATCTCGTGATGGAAGGGCTTATATAGCTATGCTGTTACATTGAAGTTGATGACTTTGGGAGATGTTTGGGACATACCGTGAGCGATACCCCTCCCATATGCAGGAGGTGATGGGACATATTGAAGTCTAGAAGGGTCTACAGATATGCTTAAGAGCTCTGGAGTGTATCACAATATGAATATAAGGGCTATGTCAAGGCATTCTCCTACATTCATCTACCAGTACTGGAACGTGTCAACCTGCTACTGCACAAAGAAACTCCCAACACTAACCTTAACCTAGTCTACTAGCTCTGTGGCTTTGTTACAGACTACGGGACGGGACGTTCTCGTCGCTACCAGAGATTGAAGGAGAAAATAATGGCAGTTCCCTTTTACTTTGTGGGGAGATGAGTGGTTGTTCCGTGGGAGGTCTGTGGTTGAGTATCATCTATCTAGGTACTCGTATGGATCGTATGCTTTTGTGGATGGTCTAGGCTCTTCTTGGATATGGAGGCAGAGTTGCGGTGTAGGTGTTCTGTATACTGTGAAAGTATCATGTCGGGCGAGATGGGTTTATCCACTATAGCTTATCGGACATAGGGGTGGTTATGTTCTATGTTGCTGGGTATGGGTGGGTCTGCATGAGAGGGTAGGGATATATCCGATGATTTCGATTGATAGGAGTAGGTAATAGCAATAGGCGGGTGATGGGTTGAGAGAAATTGCTAGCTGAGTGCCGCAGTGTTGAGAATATTGCATGCTTGGTTGGGTTGTGAGTGAGTGGCGGAGAGTATGGCAGACCAGTGTATTGCTATGTGGTACCATAGCTTATAGTTGAGCATGGTTGCTGCATTGATAGGTCGTTGTTTAAGCACTGTTCTAGCACATAACAAAGGAAAAATTCTTTGATTGGATCCCTAGACAAACAAGAGTAAAAAAAACAACACAACATGCAGGATTTCCTTCAACATCAAAGACAAAACCAGACCCGGAATCGAGTGGCCGATCTGATCAATTCCGGTAGACCCGACTAGTACAGAAGGTAATCAGGGAGGCGAAGGGGGGTGGGCGTGAGATATGTACAGCGTGGGGGATAATTGGGAGTGGCTACAAGCCAGGCTTTCTAGGTCGGAAAGACTCTCTTTCTAATATCATGTTTTTCTCGCATCTCTTTCAAGGGGAGTGTCACATGGACACCGTGTCCGGTGTCATCATTGGCAAATACAGGTGCCGCTTAGCGGTAAGGAGCATCGGCTCTGATAGCAGCAGCAATTTCGGGCTCCCACTTGTCACCGTTGGCGAGAAGCTTCTCCTTGTTGTACAGCAGCTCTTCACGGGTCTCGGTGGCATATTCGGCGTTGGAAGCTACGCGACATTGTCAGTAAACGACTCACGTCCTACATAATTTTACTGGTTACTCACTCTCAACAATAGCATCGACAGGGCAACTCTCCTGGCAGTAACCGCAGTAGATGCACTTGGTCATGTCGATATCGTAACGCGTCGTGCGACGGCTTCCATCCTCACGCTCCTCAGCCTCGATGGTGATAGCCTGGGCCGGGCAGATAGCCTCGCAGAGCTTGCAGGCAATGCAGCGCTCTTCACCGGTGGGGTAGCGACGCAGAGCGTGTTCGCCACGGAAACGGGGGGAGATGGGACCCTTCTCGAAGGGGTAGAAGATGGTGTAACTAAACGACCAGCGCATCAGCCGCAGGTCCATTGAGACAGAACAATCCTCCTCAAGATAATGAAAAGCAATAGACAGGCTTAGAAGGTCCACGAGAAGTTCTGATGATGATATGCACCGAGGCGGACCTGACGAAGCTGGATGGGACGACTTACGGAGGTCTGAAGAACTGCTCCAGCACGACGTACATGCCGCGCAACAACTCAGCCATAAGGAAGTACTTTCCGGCCTTGTCGAGAGAAGACTCAGTGCCTTCGTCCCATTTCTTCGGAGGGGGCAGACGGAAGCCCGGTTGGGGGGGACCAGCTGGCGTAGCTGCCCGGTTCACCGAGGAAGAGAAGTTTGCGATGGATCCCAAGGGCGAAGAGCGGAGAGGGAAGGCTGTAGGACGAGAGTAGGCGACGAGCCTGGCGACGGACTTGGGGGCGGCCATCGCGGAAGTCGAAGAAGCGCGCGAAAGAGCGGGGATGACGAGGGGGGAGGTCAATTGACAGAGGGGGGGGAACAGCAGCAATTCGAACCAGAAGCGGTTGGAGGTGGAAGTCGACGAAGTTCTGCTTGGGTCGCCGGCCTGCTTAGGTCATGGCTTTCTGCCGCCCCGTGATTGGCCCGCCGCCAGGATTTTGCTTCCTCCGAGCCGCAACAGAATCCAAACCCGTTCATCATCCATCGCTTCATTTCCCCCAATCTTTCCCCATTCCATCACTACCTTCTCCTCCTCATTCTCCCCCCCACTCCACCTCTTCTTCTTATACAGGCCTTTTTTTAGCCTCCCTTTTCAGCTTCACCTTCCTGCCATCATGTTCCGCTCCGCTGTCGTCCGCTCCCTCAGGGCCTCCGTCCCTCGTGCCGTCAAGACTCCGGCTCCCTTCCAGATCCGTAGCTCTCCTGTCGCTCGTCCGGCCCAATTCGCCCCTCGCTTTGCCTACCAGGGTGTCAGACTCTACTCCGCTCCCGCCGGTCTCAACAAGGATGAGGTTGAGGGTCGGATAGTCAACCTTCTGAAGAACTTTGACAAGGTGCGTCCGGAATTGCGCGTTTTTAGCTGCTCCCTCAAGGCGAGGAATTGCAAGCTATCAAGAAATATAAAACAAGCACAGTGACTGATAGGCTGGAATTATTACAGGTCTCCGATGCTAGCAAGGTTAGTTTTGATACCCGATGACGCCCGATGTCATTGGCCGGGATTTCCCGCGGGTAAAGAATCATAGCTTAACGGTCGCGATTCAACAGATCAACGGTGCCTCTCACTTCGCGAACGACCTCGGTCTGGACAGCTTGGACACCGTTGAGGTCGTCATGGCCATTGAGGAGGTATGGATATCGCATATGCCCTGGTTTATACTTGACGTTGTATACTGATAGGGATGCCTATAGGAATTCAGCATTGAGATCCCCGACAAGGAGGCCGACTCCATCCACAGCGGTAAGTGCAGCTTTAGGATGAGATGCCCTTACAGGGTATTGCGACGCCGAAGAACATATACTGACCATCCCTTCTGCTATAGTTGACAAGGCTGTTGAGTACATCCTTGGTCAGCCCGATGGTAAGTTTAACATAACACACTTTGTTGTGCAATTGAACATGACTTGTGGGGATTGGGTACTGACTACTCTGCTAGCTCACTAAATATGAACGTAATGCGAGGACTCGGAGTGGACTGGGGGATTTAGAATAGAAAGGAAAGGGACTTCTGGCGTGCATCTACATGGGACTTGCCATAGTGGAGGTACCCGGAGTCGGTCACGCTACTCTGTATGCTGATACATGCCTGTGCTCTTTCACTCTATTATATCGTGTATATCATCTTCAATGCAGTTTTGACTGATTTTGGCTGGTCTTTTCGTATGAAATATCTTATTCTTTCTTTCTTTATTGGGTGTTGTTGAAGGAAATAACTTGACTGCTGAGAAAGTAATGCTTAGGATAATGATAGCGTTGAAATAAGCTTGGAATTGCACGCGGTGTTCAGGTCGGAACGAATCTGATATGCGGTTCCGTGGGATGACGTGGAGGCTACCGATTCGGGAGCAATCAACGAGAAATGTAAGTGCAGGGCCCCAGCCAGCATAATAATAAAGGTGAAAAGGGCTGGGATTTCCTGCTGCAGCTTTGAAACCAATGTTAATGCGACTAAAGCAGATAGAGAAAAATAAAATAAAATAAAAATAAAAATAAAAATAAAACACGCAGGGGCCTGGAACCGAGTGGGCTGGGAATAGATAAGTAGAAGTAGTAAGTAGTAAGTAGTAGTAGTAGTGACAATAAAAGAAATGGGGTCCGTCACCGGAGAAGCAACAACTACTCTAACTAACTGGAGACGCCCAGCCAAAGGAAGACCAAGCGCCAGATAGCCTTAGCGACCGCATCGACCGCATCAATCTTTATATCTCCTCCATCCAACTTCCCTCCCCGGGTTTTTATCTCCCACCACCACCACCACCCTTCTTTTTTCTTGTCTTGAGTTCTCACCGGGCTGTAATTGGGGTTTCTTGTCGCTGCTCGGCTCAGTTACCCACTTCTCTGGCCGCCCCGTCTCCTTCTTCCCCCATTGATTGTCGGCCTGCCTTTCCTCTTCGTCGTCGTCTTCCACCACAACCCCCCCCTGACAATTTCCCGTCTAGCAAACTTTCCGGCGTCACTCTTCCATTCTAGCAACTCCAACCTCCGATCTTCCTACCCGCCCAATAAGCAAACATCTGTCCATGTCGCAGACGATAACGGCATAGACTCCATCATTTGCGTGCTTATCGACACCACCCTGGTTCCCTTTATCCCTCCCTCCCCCCCCACTCCCGTCCTCCAGCCGCATTTAGATCCTCATGGCCTCAGCCGGGGGCTTGACTCGCCGGAGAGGTGGCGGTCGAGTCGCTGGCGCCGAAGAAAACGACGACAGCAGAGTCTCTTCGCCCGTGTCGAGAAATGGTTCGTCGCTGGATAACCGCATCCCCGAGACCTCGTTCACCAGCTCCGAAAACGGTCACAAAATCGCCTTCGATCCTAGGGACATCAGTGAGACGGAGGAACGCAGCAAGCAGCCCAAGTTGACGCTGATGGAAGAGGTGCTTCTGCTGGGGTTGAAGGATAAGCAGGTGAGCCCCTAGCCTGGCTACGCGCATCTACAACCGGTGTTCAATGACTGACAGGCGCGCCCGGGATGGCTTGGTGTCGCTGTAGGGTTATCTGTCTTTTTGGAACGAGAACATCTCATACGCTCTCCGAGGATGCATCGTGATCGAGTTAGCGCTCCGTGGTCGGATCAGCATGCAGAAGGACTCCTCTCGGCGACGTTTCCCTTTGGCCGATCGGGTGATTGAGGTGGTCGACGATACGCTAACTGGGGAGGTCTTGCTGGACGAGGCGCTGAAGATAATGAAGTCGAGTGAGAAGATGAGCGTGAACTCCTGGATTGATTTGTTGAGCGGTACGTTGCCCAGGAGCATCTCCGATCATATTCCTTATTGATTCTTCCGCGATTGCTATTGACGCATTGGCTGACTCGACGTGTCTTCCGGGCAGGTGAAACATGGAATCTGATGAAGATTGGCTACCAACTCAAGCAAGTGCGCGAACGCCTCGCCAAAGGTTTGGTAGACAAGGGTATCCTCCGCACCGAAAAGCGGAACTTCCTCCTCTTCGATATGGCTACGCATCCCGTCGCCGATGGAGGCGCCAAGGACGATCTCCACCGCCGCGTCCGCAACGTCTGCAGCAGCCGTACAGTGATCCTCCCGGCAAATGCATGGCTTCCTGAAGACGTCGAGTTCCGTTACCTACGAACCATCACCATGGTATGCGCGGCCTATGCGGCCAACGTGCTGGAGAACGCTCTGGTCACAATGAGTCACGAGGCCCGTGAAAGGGCATTCGCGCAGGTGGATGAGTTGCTTGCTGAATACTCTCAGTGGCCATTTGCCCGGAGAGCAGGAGGGTCGCAGGCCATTGGAGCCAACCTGGCACAGGCTATCAACGACGAGGTGAACAAATCTAAGGACCGAGAACTTCAGATGGAGGTACGTTTCTCCTCATCCATTGACTACTCTGCGCCCAGTGCTAATTCTCTTGCAGATTGTGGCAGCATGTTTGAGCGTTTTCACTAGACTCGACTCCCTACTGTAAGGGTATTATCATTCTTCGTCATCTGCTATAGTCCCCAACCTAGTTTGTCTTTTTTACTTTCCTATTATTTCCCCTTATGCTATTGATTTCTGAATCAACAAAACAACTACCCCGGGGGAGCTCTACTTGGCTTCATCTTGAAGTAGTCACCGGTATACCGGTTGGAACTGGCAGAGTGGCGTTTATATGAAATCCGTCTTGCATTGTTTTGCACGGGTTGTTCGATTCGATCTCCATTGATCTGTGTTTTCTTCGTCTGCTTTTGTTCTACAGTTTTCTTTTCCACCCATCGACTCGCCCGCTCCCTCCCTCTATTTTCAAGGAGGTAAAGCGCGGCCATGCCATATGTATTTCTCAAAGCACACACTCCCCCAATTCCCACAGGAATTGTACGCACCTCTGGGAAGTTAAACCCCGTTCAGATGCATGCAGCCAGGACAGACAACCAGCACCGGGGCGCCATCCAGAACATTGAACCCGGTATGCCATGACAAGGACGCAACTGGTTTGTGCCTTTGTCAATCAGACAACCAAAATTATCGAAAAGAAGAAGAAAAAAAAAAAACATAAAGAGAGAATAAGAATGAGTGCTACACATGGAGACAGAGACATCCAACGAGGCCTTGCATGGCTTTTACTTTATTTACTATTCTATTTATGATTCTTTTATTTCCCTCTAAAAAATTTATTTTCTTTTACTATTCTTCTCCCCTTCCTTTTCTTTCTTCTACCTTAAGTCATTATTCCAAATGTTTCCACTTCCTCTAATCATCCCCATAACACTTCCCCCCTCTTTCATCTTCTCTTCTTCCCTCAACAAGTGTAGCAGAGAGGAGCTTAAAGGTTCACTGTCCTTTTCCTCTTCGTCTACTAGTTTCCATTCATGAATGTATCTACCATGTACACCGGGTGGTTTGTGCTGTCGAATTCGTCTTCCTTCCTATCAATTCTTCGTTTCTTTTTCTTTTTCCTTTTTTTTTTTTTTGTTCCTTTTCGATCATCAGGTCGCACCAAAGTCTTGTCGTGAGGGAGGGGTTTTGTTTATCCCATGCTGCACTTGACTCGGATTGAGCTTGTATGTGTTTCTACTCCCCTTCTCTTTTCCTCTCCCCTTTTCCCTTCTTCTTTTCTGTCTGTTGGTTGTCCTTCTAGCGCTTTACTCTTCCACCATGTCGTTAGTTACTTTCAAGGGTATGCTTCGTCTACCTGTAAGATTCAATAACAAGAAAAGAATTTTGGTATTAATCCGTCTCATGCGCCCGGGCTAACGAGATATTTTGCCTTGGTATGCCCTTCTCTGACGATGGTCTATAGATCTACTAGCCTAAACATTGATGAAAGTAATCGCTAATGTAGCTGCCAAGTATGGTACATTCACTGAGCTGTCATGCTGCTTTAAAATACATTATCACGTAGATCATAGATATCAAACGCTTCATGCTAGTTAACCCGGATCACCATCATTCCTCCCCGTCGTCCTCCGCCCGCTCCTGCCGCCCCCGCGGATAGCACGTCCGTGCCGTCAACCAAGTCCTTGATACTCTCGACCCTCCCTCGGACCTCGTCTGCCTCAACTAGCTCGGAAATCTGGCTCAAGGCTTCACCGTTGGGGCTGACAATAATGAAGCGACTAAGCACGCCATCCTTGCGTGGCTCATCGTCATGGAGAGGGTCCCTGGCTTCCGCCGGCGTCGAGTCTACCGCGGTCAGGACAGCACCATGTTCCTTGATGACCTTTGGAGAGTGTGCTTGCTCGAACATCTCCTGACCGGCGCAGTCCAGGACGATATCTACGGGATCCCAGCGGTTCTTGCGGAAGATAGATCCGAGATCATAGTCATGTGGTAGGGGAAGTGGCGCATAGATTGTCGCGTCCACGTTGTATTCTTTCCGCAGGTATTCCTCCTGATCTTTAGCGTCACAGGTTGCGCAAATCCAGGGCCGCGAGTGCGGGAAGAGCTTATGCGATCGAAGCAACTGTAGTGCCTGAGTGGCAATCTCATTGTTGCGCGCGTTGGTAATGAGAACCCGTAGCTGCTGGCGACCATGTTTAACATCGGCGGTGTCAAGCCCGGCGTACTTAAATATCGCTTCCCAAGCCGTCAAGGCGGGCATGGGAATGGTAGCTGCTTCAGCAGCGCTGATGTTCTTGGGCTTGTACGCCAGCTCATCTTCTGATACGATGACGTAGTCGGCTGCTGCACCGTCGCGCGTGTGCTTGATCAGCCCAAAGACGGCGTCGTCAACCTTGAATTTGGGCCCGTCTGGGTTCCAGTGGTCTTTTTCAGGGGTACTAATGACCGTACCACAGAAGCTATGCAAAGGGATCTGCGGAATGGACTTGGATGGGTTCAAAATATTAGATAGCCGGAGCTCATCATGGGAAAAGGCGGCTGCCTGCACCTTGACGAGATAGTCGTTCCCTGAAGGGATGGGAGTTTGAAAGTCCGTGTCGAACTTCACGTGGGAATCAGTCCTAGGCTCGTCCATAGATGTGTGGTCTGTGATGGCTGTTGATGCCGGGCTGAAGTAAAGCGCTCTCATTGTTGGTGGCACGAACGTCTGTTCGTCCATCGTGGTTGACTGAGGCTTTGCAGGCTTCATGACGATTTGCTCGGCTTCCCTAATGCGTGATAGTGTCGCAGTCTCCGATCGTATTCAATAGAGTACTCAAACTCAATTGATATGAACCGCTGCGACAGTGAGTGCCGCGAACCTTCGTTATGCCTAGTGCCAAGTGGGACAAATTCTTTCAGTGGATAAGCCTTGACTTTGGTATATTCTGAGCTTCTTCCTGTAACTCGGGGAAAATAAAAATGATCTGCAACCCTTGGGCACAAGAGAGCTTAGTATAAATTATGGAGTGGGCTGCAGCCACCGTGGTTGCGGGTGAACATACTCTCATGTTGACGTAACCCAAGAGAGAACGGCTTATCTCAGCACCGTCAATAGATCGACTGATCAGGCGATATTGAGCTCATCACCATGTCTTTTGGCGGTGGCGGAAGTTTCTGTGGGTAGACCAGGCCTTGTTTTGGGGATTGTGCCTGTCGACTGCTTGACTCAAGTTCAGCCACCAGATGATGCACTTCCGCCGGTTGTTCGAACACCCTCCACACGTGTTCTGGAATACCCGCAAACGCAGTTTTGAATCTCTCTGGGGAGTTCTGTTCATCCAAGTGAGGCACGTCTGTAACCTTCCTGATCCAAATCGCTTGGATCCAGTGCGGATGCCTCTTATAAAGTTCTGCGTAGGCCTCGGGATCTTGCTGGGTGGAGTCTCCGATACAGAGCACTTGGCGCTTGGGAAACCATCCATGAATTTTCTCCCCGCGGTCCACCTTGTACTCGTGTGTGTTAACGGTGAAGGACTTTACTAGCTCGCTGATATCCAACCAGGATGAGTCTCGAAGAATCATCGTACCCGGACTGAAATATGAACCAAGGAATCCGTGCAAAAAAGGGTACAAATTATAAGGAGACGCTGAGACATAGAACCATGCAGGTACAAGCTGATTCTGGATATGGGCATAGAGTTGAGGCATTCCGGCAATAGGCTTGGGCTCTTCGACGAACGTGGTGCGAAGGATGCCAGTGGTCTCAGAAGTCTTGGTGTACTTGATTGTATCGTCGATGTCGGAGATGACAAGCCAACCTTCTGGACCAGCAAAGATGGTGTCCATGAAAACCTGGTTTCCCCAACCTCGAAGATATGATCGAATTTTAGTGCCATCTGTGATGTGCTTGCTGTTCGCGCTGATTGTCTGACTACTGATGCCACTCTCATCGGTGGGCCCGATCTTCTGCATCTGGATGGTGCTGTTCGGCAGGGGAGTTTCTAGTGTCATCAAGTGTGCAGAGGCAGTATGGAACAGAAATGGCTGTAGTCGTTCTGTTATCCGATGGCGTGTCTCCTTGTCCGTTCCCATCTCCCCGTCCAGTCCAATGAGGTCTGCAATCATGGCGACGAGCTTGGTGATATCCCTTCGGCTATTCTTGCGGAAAGCGCAGGCCACGACTTCTGCGTGCCATGATGCCTGTCTTGATGCTGTGGGCGCCGGTACCTGATAGGCAGTATTATCAAACAACCATACGGTATGCTGACGAGCATCTGCCGTTTGAATCGATGGGGGCTTTGAGATGAATGAAGTGACCATTTGGAGCATGCTTGACTCTCGCTTCCATGCATGTACTACCCGTGCGACCTTGTGAAGGACGGTAGGGTCTTTGAGGTTTGTATCAGGAGACATGGAGTGCGTATCTGCTCGTGTGAGCTTAAGTCCCTGACGATTGTAATGTGATAAGTTGAGTTGAATTGATAGAGATACTGGAAGATAGAAGAGCGTTCCGCAGGTGAGTGAAGATTTAAGCCAGTTTATAGCCCTCTAAGATGTACAGTTTTGGGCGCCACGAGGCAGGCAGCCTCCTGATCCTGCAGGACTGCATCATATTGATCCCAAGCCGCAGGGCAGTGGCATCTATACGGGCTCAGGCAGCTTGGCCTGAGTCATTTCCTATTTTGAGGAGTCAGGGGAACAGGGCCATAAGGCTGTGTCCCTGTGGGGTATAGGATCGACGGAGAGATGCAGACGGAGAGATACATGCATGAGAGGGCTCGCTGCCTGGCGCCCGCGTCAGCCTCGATTGACTTGTGACCTATGGGATATCGAGGCGCAGCGGCTGACCAGCCCCCCGGGGCGCGGGTATTGGACAGTCATCTGCAGGGAGCGCAGGAACAGGGCGGGCAGACCCCTGAACGTACGTATTTAGACCGTTGCTGAGCACGTAACTTGCTGCAGTGAGAATGCCGAGAGGTGCCTTGGGCTCAGTTTTGTAATGATATTATTGCGATGAATCATTTGAGCGGAGATGGATTTATTTTACTTTGAGGGTTGTGTTAGTTGCATGGTAGTTAGCCATCGGAAATCCAGTCAGTCGGATCATCACGCGGCGTTCTAAGTTGGTCATGGTGAAACTGTAATGGCAGCCTTATAGTTTTCTGTGACTGAGGCTTCTGACAGACGGGGTAAAAGAGAAGACGAAGAGGAAGAGGCAGAGGCAGAGGTAAATGAAGAAAGTGAAGAGAACTAAAGACGAAAAGTATATCAAAAGACCAAGAGGGAAAGAACGAACTACTCGAGCGGTGGGGCTTCCCTATTAGGAAACTGGGACCCTTCAGTACCTATCTACCGGACAGTCACATGACATGCCATCAAAAACAGAGTCGCGAGCACATTTCAGATACTAGCTGAAAACACGGGCCGTGTCAACCGCCTTGATTTCACGTTTCAACAAACTTCTCCGGACTTCGTATCAGGCCGTTATATTCGTGCTTGTTTCAAATCACGTGGCTGTGTCACTTGAATTGCGTCTGCGGTGAAACATCTACTCCTACTCCCATCACATCGATATCACCCGCTCCAGCAACAAACACTCGTGTAAACGAACTATTTTACTATCGTGCAACACATTCTTGTGTAACTAATGAAAGGGAAATCGATGTGCCGCAGCTGAGTAACGCATTGCTAGCTCACATCCAAGCCCGGGCGGGCTGTCTCAAAGATGGCCGGCGTTACTATCGACCGGCGAACCGGCCAGGCCTATAGAGAGATGGCCTTCCACCCTTCCAAGTACCCTAATGGGTCCTTTTGGGTTCACGAGTCTCCATTCTTACCAGAAAGATGGGAGGAGAGCAGCCGAGTCGGGGCGCCCTCATTACAGCACTCCGCCATGAAATGCCTGTTGTCTGACCAAAGGAGACTACGGCCTGAAATGTTTGCTTACGTACCCTGGCATATTGCTAGCTACCTCTGGGATTGCCTTGGCAAGAGGTAGGATGATCGAGAATATAAAAACAGATCTGGCCTAACTTTTGCCGTAGCAAGAGAAGAACTCTACACAGCTGGAAGCTCTTTGCCACGGCCTACCCCGAGCAATTCCGAGAAGTCAGCCGTTACCGCTCCTATAGTGTAAGAAGCGTGGAGATGGGCATGCCTGAATACTGGAAGGAGGTGAATAGCGATGCTTTGAGTTGGCGGGCGGTGCTAAGTTTGGACCCATCAATCGCCAGGGTTCCTGATCTCGTGGAGATAGCTAGTATCCGGAACTTGGTAGCTTTGGAAATATCATCGCCACCGCAGACCTGGCATAACGGCGAGTCGCCTGGGGTCACGCTCAGCAATCGCATCATCCGGTCGTGGAACGAGTTGCAGCAGAGTTCCGAGGCATTTGCACATCTCCGAGTCTTGGTCTTGTCTCGTCAATGTGACCTCTCGGTGCAGATCTTCCAATACCTGCGAGACTTTCCGTCACTGGAGATTGTTCTCGCCGTGGACTGCGAGGATCTCACAAAGGCATCTAAGGTTGATCTTCAGGTTGATGGATGGCTAGTAGATCCCGATACAAAACGGGACGGAACTCTCTACGATCAGTACTTATCAGTTATCAAGAGCGAGGCGAAAAAGCCGACCGGCCTAGACGCTGCCCCCGTCTTGAACTTCGAAATCAACCCTAGCAAAACCAAACGCGACACGCCAATGAGGAAAGAGCTATTCTGCTTCTACCGCGACGGCAGCAAGACTTACAAGCACGAGCAAGAATCAGACCGGAAAAGGCCGCGAGGCTATCCCCAGATGAAAAAACAAAGGCCAGATAAATACCGCAAGATAGGCTGGGAAGGACTGCTGGGAGACTTGACTTGATTGTCAAAAGTGTCAGACCATCAAGTGGGGACTATATCCATAGTTAATGCTAACTGGATGATGTCACTGCTGACAGTCGCAGGGCGGTCGGCCATATTTCGGCCGAGGGACCGCCACAGTGTGGGAGCTGCAGAGGTACCTGCATAGCTGTAGATCAGTAAGGAGCAGACAAGCCTGGTTGACTCGATACAAAGTACATAAGTGTGTAGAGCGATTGGGTGGATATAAAGGAGACTAGTAGGAGATGTCCAGACTGGAGCTGGATGACGCCGGGATGACAAGCGGGGGCTTGTGATTGGACGATTAAGGGAAGCCGCCGTATCCCCGCCTTTTTGGGGGCTTCGAATGAGTGACTCTCCTTTCGTCTTCGCCTCCCATCCAGACTCGCTTCTCCTTCCTTTGCAGCCTCCACTGCCACTTTTGATGCTGTGGTCTGTCTCGAATCGGGAGCATCACCTCCCCAGATCAGGTCTCACGTACTTTTGTACAGCTACTCCTATCCGGAGAACTTCCTGCACGCCAACTACACCCCTCCTCCCTCCTTACCTAAGCTCCTCCCCTCCCTCCCATTTCCGTCCACCATGACGGACCGACCGATGGATACGGTTGCAGACAGCAATTCCAGTGGATCAAACGTTGCATCTCCCCGTTCTAGCACGGATTCCCGCACTCCATCCGCCAGCGTTCGGTCACTCCGCCTCTCCTCGCACGCTCCGAATCATCAGCACCGTCAGAGCATCAGCGATACTCTCCGTGCGACACCAGGGTCGCCGCGGGCACGCCGACAGCCCTCCTTGACCCAGGCCGCCATTCAGAGTCTCATCGACAATCCGCCGGCCCCGAACAATGCCAACCCCGCGTTTGTTGGCCGAGACTGGCGGGAGATCTCCATCGGGGAGCTGGTCAGTCCAGACGACCTGAAGTTCGTCGACATCGACACGGGAATTGAAGAAGCGACGAATGTGGGCGCTGCTGCTAGATCCAGATAGAATTTCCGAGTCGCGGGCTGACTCTGTTAGATCTTGATTGACACCGGGGCGCCGGTGCTGCTGATCCGGGAATCACCCCAGCACAAGTCGGCCGTGGGCACCTTCGACTACGCCGATCTGAACGCATATCTCCTGCTAGCGGCGGGACTAACACAGCCGAATGAGGAGCTCCTTGCGTCGTACGAAGAACTTGCACGCAAAGCGAAAGAAGGCATTCCGATCCCGCTGCGAGATGTCAAGGATCTCGGTCGCAAAGAACCGCTGACAACGTTGCCGGCATCGGCCAGTGTCATGACGGCTGTACAGACGTTCGGCGGCGGGGTGCATCGCGTGGTAGTGGTCAGCGAGCGGGACGACAATGAGGTTGTGGGAATTTTCAGTCAATTCCGACTTGTCAAATTCCTGTGGGAGAACGGCCGCAGCTTTCCTGTGATCGACCAGCTATATCCGCAGTCGCTGCATGACCTGCGGATCGGGTCGCGAGATGTGATTTCAATCAAGTGCGTTCCTTGAACGGTTTTGAAGTGATCTAGCTAATGCTGTGTAGTGGTGATCGGCCGCTCGTTGAGGCGCTGCAGATCATGAATGAGGAGGGCATCTCGTCTATCGCAGTGGTGGACAACCACTCCAACGTCGTGGGCAACATCTCCACGACAGATGTCAAGGTACGCAGCACTATGACGTTAGATGAGCACCGCTGACCAGACAGCTCCTCACGCGCTCATCCTCGCTCCCACTACTCCGCAATACATGCACGCATTTCATTTCCGTGATTCTGTCGAATCGCGGCTTGGAAGAGGGCAAAGACTCGTTCCCGGTCTTCCACGTGAACCCAGGGTCGACACTAGCGCACACCGTCGCCAAGGTGGTCGCCACCCGGTCCCATCGGTAAGTCTAGGTCCAGCACATACGAATTGGCAACTACTAACAAACCACCAGCCTTTGGGTGACCGATCCGCTATCGCCATCCTCATCAGGACCTCCTACACCATCGCACTCATCCGTGCATATCCCACTGGTCACCAACTCGAGTCCACCCCCTTCACCAGCCGTCAACAACGGCAATGCGGCACCAGCGGCATATCTCAGCGCGCCGTCGATCCCGGCCTCAGCGCTACCCGGGGCACGGCTTTCGGGGCGGCTAGTCGGGGTTGTGAGTCTAACGGACATCCTGAACCTGCACGCGCGGGCGAGCGGACTCAGTCCGGCGGACCCAGCCGAGAGCCGTAGCCGACGACGACGCAGCAGCAGTTCGAGCGTGGGGGTGCGACGTAGCGGCGAGATAGGTCGGGAACTGTTTAGCGGGCGAATTGTATAGCCCGTTCTTCTTACTCCCTTATTCTTTTTTTACCTCTTTTTTCCCTTTCTAGTATTTACTATGTCCAATTCTGTACCTAGATCGACACCAAGTACATATCAATACAATCCATAGGATCAAATCCCAATACCTGATTCAAATCCATCGGAAATCCCCCCAGATATGGAGCAAACCTGACATATAGAAGAACACGGGGGCGGGGAGATGAATCTCGGCCCTACACCCACCCACCCTTACACAATACACCCCCTTACATACAATACAGTAATATACCTCGTATCCTCAATACAAGCACCACCCCCACACTACGC